CAAAAATAACTGAGAGAAGCGAAAATAAATAAATCGAAGAGAAGAAGAGAGAGAGAAGAGAGAAGGAATTTAATTCTAATTATTTAGAGCTGGACAGATATTGTCAAGGAGACATGCAGATACACAATAGAATCGACTCGACTGCATGTAGAGTAGCTGCCTCTAACTGCAGCAGAGTGGAGCACGCACGTACGTGATCAACTCGGGAAAAGTGAAAGGTGAGTGAAACAAAATACAAATAAATTCGAACAAGCAAATACAATAATTGTGAAGTCACGTGCAAAGTGTCTGTAACATGCAGTTTTTTAAAATAATGTATCATCGGATTCACGTAGCCCATTGCGTTGAGACTGATGATGTCATGTGAGAGTGTGATGTTATTGCTGTCGCACGTAACCCATTGCGTTGAGACTGATGATGTGGTGTGAGAGTGTGATGTCATTGCTCTCGCATGTCGCCCATTTGCATTGAGACTGATGATGTCATCTGAAAGTGTGTGCTGTGGCGGTCACGTATGTGTACTCCAAAGATGTATACCCCGTGGTATAATCATGGACTGTATGTCTTTGGGTGTGTTACCCCCACTGGCGCTATCTTTTTTGGTGGTGTTGGGGTGTCGTAGGTTCACGGTGCATCCTTCTCAGCCGATTCCCGGTGGCTGAGCGTCACCACCGACCATGGCACATCCCATGTCTTTGCTATCCTCCCTGACGGCGGTGGTAAGTCAGTTCTGATACATGTAACTACAGTTGCGCTCGGTGAAATCCGACCTTAAGTGCAAAGCTGGCGCCCTGGACTGGTTCTGCTTACATCATTGTATTTGAACATGTGTAGTGTGTACATACAGCCGCATTTGTGACACTTCCAGGGCGTCAGGGGCCGCGCAAGTCGAGGGCACCAACTACGCACTCTGGGTCGGATTTCACCAAGCACTTTACATGCCATCCTGGCCTGTTGTACAAGTCAAGAGTGCTGAGAAATAGTTCTACAATCGAACTTCGCTCTTTTTATTTTGTTCAAGTGAACATAGCGTTTTCTGCCGGTCCAGATCAGTTGGCTGATGTTCACCAGGGCATGCTAGGCGTAGAACGTCCTTCGTGTTGCTTGAGGAGCTTCTTGGCACTCGGGCTAGTTGGGAACACCTCAACCCAAATGAGACCGAATGATTTTTGCTGAAAAATACTGCCTGCTTTCTTCACGGATCATATAATATTTTACTTTAGTAGTAGTGCAAACAGAGTCAAACATGATGGTGACATTCGTCTCAAGGATTGGCCAGTCCTGCACACGGGTTTCTTTTCAAAAGGAGCAGCTTTCTGGCTGAAAATACTGAGCACCTGGTTTCCATATAGCTTTGGTCTTTGTGCTCGTGATATGTGCAATGGATTTGTGTTCCTTTCTTGTCTGACCCAGGACCGGCAACGCTGACCTCGCATTCAGCATCCCTACCCAACAACTCCTCTCTGTTTGAGAGCAGCAGCGGATCGTCTGGACAGTGTTCCGTGTCAGCAGCGACATCCGCAGTGCCTCCCCGTGAGGCTGGCTCTACTCCAGTGCTCTCCAGGCATGGCAGCAGTATCAGTAGCAGCAGTAGCAGCATCAGCAGTAGCAGTGCAATGCACCTGACAAGTGTTGAGCAACTAGCCACTGGCCATCCCCAGTACGGTGCCTGGCTAGCCACGTCCGCACGGCATCCTGTCATTGCGTGCACTCACTTGGAAGCCGCCACCCTGGTATGTTGCTCAGGGCCGCGCTACACTAGAGCTGCATTGCCATGATGCACTCCCTGTGTGCTGCAGATGCATACAAACATGAATGAGCCCAGCCAGCCAGTCAGCTTCAGGCTGGCTTCAACTCTGGAGCATGCATGTTGCATGGCACAGCTACATATAAATTTGATTTAGACCTGCTTGATAGTTTTGATGCCAACTCGGGGCATTAGCAGCGTATGCTGAAGTTGTTTTCTCTGGTTATCGCTTGCTGCTCTATTTTTCTGTTCTTTTGTAGATCAAGCCAGTGAACGATCTTCCGGCATCTACTGCCGCAGCCTTTCCAGTTTCATCAGCACAAGCCACATCCGGCAATGCTGATCAAAAAAGCTGGTCTTCACCCGGACCCTTGATATCGTCCGCAATCTTCAGACGCGGAGGTATGTATATTTTGAAATGTGTCTTTAGAACGCATGTTTCAAGTTCGCGCCGTTCGAGCCATGTCACGAGTAATCGTGTGCACGCGTATGTGCTACACAGCCTGACTGGCTGATATGCTTGTGCTAGTGACTTCAGGTGGTGCTAACTTCAAGAAATTTGATGTCATACCGAACAGACATACTGTACGCGCGCGAATACAAGCCCCCCTTCGAATAGAGCCCCCCTTCGAATAGAGCCCGTCCCTCAGAGGCATTCGAAGTAATACAGCCCCATCTCGAATAAAAGCCCGGGGCTCTAATCGAGCGCCCACAGTCCGTACGTTGTAGTGCAGTACATGAACCATGTACGGTATGCACGATCAACACAGTGTGCTTTGCAGATCACTAGATCCATATTGGAGGTACGGGATCGCTCTGGCCCTCTGGGGTCAACGTAGAGACATGCAAAATGGGAACACACTGCGCCAGAAACGATCATCTTGAAAGGTGTGAAAAATTGATGTTTCTATTGAAAAAAATAAAGCCCCTCTCGAATAGAGCCCCTTCTCAAATACAGCCCCCCCCCCTCTGGGTGTCTTCTGGAAAAATAGAGCCCCGGGGCTTCTATTCGCGCCAAGAGTACATAACCCCCCAGAGTGTGCAACTCCACTATGGGTGCTGTCCCGACAGAATTTCAAGTTGATGATGCATTTTCATGATGCAATGCGCACTGTACACGGATTATCAGACGAATCCGGAACCTGTGGTTGACCGAAGCCGATCGATCCTGTACAAATTATTGCAAAGAAAAACGTGTGATGCGTTGACACCCGTACACATGTTGTAAATCACTGCTGCAAGGAGCATTGCGTCATAAATAATGACGTCAACTTGAAATTCTGTCGGGACAACAGGGTATGTGGGAGTTGCACACTCTGGGGGGTTATGTACTCTTGTTCGCGCTTATACGGTAATCGAATTGCTTGCAAGAAGATACACAGCTACGTAATTCTGGCAAAGAAAGCAGCAATCTTGCTTCTCTCTCTCCTCTTTCAAACAAGGGACGTTAGACCTCTCATGCCTTGGTTCGAAGATGCGAAAAGGCCTTTGGTAATCAAGACACAGGGGTTTGAGTAACTAGCAAGCCAGTGCAACGAATGCATTGGGTTAATACACGGCGCACTGGCTGCTTGCTAGCCAACCAAGGCGTGGTGACCGCGCAGATCGTCCACTCTCTCTTCTCTTTTGGTGCTGTGTATTGTGTATTGTTATGAACTTATGATGAATGTCCGTATGTCTGTCTGGTTGTGTCTATTACTCCAGGTGGTCAGCATGGCATGCCATCTATTCTGGTGTACTCTCTGTCCCAACACGCTCTGATCGACTACAGCATATCCATCTCGTCGGATACTGAAGAAGGCGCCATTTCCGGCCTGGTATCTGTCATTGCCACAGCGAAGCAAGCATGGCCACTGCTACGGTGAGCAATTGTTCTGACCCATGGCCTCTATCTAGTACCTTCACTCCAAGGAGATGTTGGAGACACACACAGCAAGAGGTACCTATCCAGCCCACAGCAACTAGCTACATACTCCTGACAAGACACCCTTGACGCATGGACTGCAACCATATGCCGGGCAACTCAAGTTTAGTACTGGGATACCTATTGGCAGTGGTTGCGAAATTCTGCAATCCAATGCACGTATCTAGAAATTTTATAGTTATTGGACTCTGCTTACTTCGAAGTACTTTAGTCTAGTGCCACATGCACAACAGATAGGTGGTAGTCAGCAAGCAGTGCAGAGTGTGAAGCTCTCAATCTCAATCACGGCAAGTGATATCCAGTTTGCTCACGTTCTCTACCCTCCACGCAATACCTGACCTGCTTGCAATTGGCCCTGCACCAGTCTCTGAAATCGTCTGTAGGTCCAATGCGCTTGTAACTTATGTGTGTTGTGCTTTGACTGATTGACTTTTGCCTATTTTTCTGTCAGTCGATGTGCCCTTATACATACGGTATGTGTGCGTGTGCGTGTGTGTGTATGTGTGTGTGCGTGGGTGTGCATGTGTGTGCATGTGCATGCACGTGTATCCGTGTGGCGTGTCTGTGTGTCCGCGTGTGCCAATGGGCATCAACTACAGGCGCACAGATGCTGAATTCACCAAGCACTGTGCCACAATGCCCATGGAAGAATTCAGAAAAGAAATGCTATCGCGTGACTTCAGCACTGCTTCCAATTCTGGTATGTTGTCGTAGGATCCAATGACTGTCAGTTTGATTCCCTGCTACCGTAAAAGTTCGTAAATAAGCACATGCCCAAAATAAATACTCCTTCATCCTTTTGACTCTCTCTGGTTAAGTCAAGTTGAGCCCGATCAACATATTTCCCCCGATAAGTACCGGTATGGTTTGCACATGCAGCGCGCAGCATGCAGATGTACCTGTGCATACTAGTACTATGGCACACACTGGAGAAAACAACTTTTCCACTACGCGCAAGTCGGGTCCGAAAGTTAGGCCTCATTTACACGACAACGATTGAAAAACGTTTTTGTCAAAAACGTTTTCAAAAGAATACGCTTCCACAGATTTTGATAAGGCCGATTCCACACTACACCAAATCCTGTGTAAAAACCATTTTTCAGGCACTTTTCAGGCAAGTTGCCATGGCGATCACTTTGAGAAACGCGCGAAAGTGAAAAGTGCTTGTTGTCTACAAAGCAACACCAGCACCCTCTTTCAAGGCAACTTTTTACCTTTTCAGGACACTTTTCTGACTTTTCTTCAGCCTTTCGATTTTTTTCCGAATGTGTTCCCTGTCGTATCTTTCAGTTGTGGTGAGTTGTGAGCTGTCAACAATGCCTAGGGTCATGTTTAGCCAGGAGCTTGAGGGCAAGCTGATCGAGCTTTGGAGCGGATATTTGAGGCGACCTCCGGCCGGTACAGTTCGCAGGAGCTACGCCGGAGCTACGCCGGAGGAGATCGCCATCAAGCTGAATTTGTTTGCTGAACAGCTCCGGGAGGCGGCAATCTATACTGCGTCGATCGTCCATTCCAAAATCGACAACATGAAAACGAAGGCGAAAGGACTGTACGAGACATACACAACGAAAACTGCCACCGGAATGCCTGTTGGCGAGGTTGACAAATATTCGACCTATGATCTGGAATCCGCCTACACAGCGCGCGCTGGCGTGGTCAAATTTCAAGATTGGGCACGCGAAAATGGGTGATATTCGAGGATTTGGACCAACAAAGAGCCTCTCCACTACCGCCGTTGCTAGATCAAGCACAGGAAAGCCTCCCAGTCTAACCTTCAAAGCAAAGTCCCGTGATCAACACTTGTAGGTGTGAATGCAGCTTCACTTTATAAGCCACTTTATGCCTTCAAGGCAAAGCCACTTTCGGCGTAGTGTGGAATCGGCCTAAGAGCGTTTACACGACAACGCTGAAAAACGTTTCAAAAACGTTTCAAACGAAAAACGGCTTCAAAGTGTTTTTCAATCGTTTTCGTTCCGTTTCGTTCTCGTGTAAACGGCAAAAACGTTTTATTAGTACGAGCCTTGTACTCCAAACATGCCGCCGCCAGCCTGCGCCAGGCCAACATATTGCACGTGACCATTGCGCGCCGAAAAACGTGTTGCAGTGTACACGATTATCGTTTTCGTGTAAACAGCAAAAACGTTTCGAAAACGATGGAAAAACGTTTTTCAATCGTTGTCGTGTAAATGAGGCCTTAGTACCCAGCCCGAAAGCTAAGGTGCCCATGAAGAAATGCAGGATCGATGAAAGCCTAAACCTGACCGTGCCTTGCCATGTAAACCCAGCCTTACACAGCCGTACATGCCTCATAGTCTCAGGAGAGTCATAGGTCAACCTACTGTGTCTGCCTCACTATTCTAATAGACGGGGGAAATAAGTTATACTGAAGTGCTAGGAGACAAATTTTGTAGTTTGCTTGTGCCATTATCCTTGCATTTTTCCGTTTTTCTGGTTTTTGCGTGCATTAGGGGTGACTGGCCAGCAAGTGTTTTCTTGGCATGGCGGCTCAGCCGAGTTACAGCAGAGCAACGAGATGTGCCTGGCCGCTTTCCGACCGCTTACATCCTGCATGCCCTATCGTCTTCTTCTCAACGGGCCACAGTTCGAGTTCCAGGTAGGCAATGTTTGCGTACTGCAGCTATGCCTAGTGTACACTTAGGTTGCTGGCGTTGTGCAATGCCGGGTGCTCTTTCATGTAATATGGATGGATGTCCATGGCCAACACTGGCAACAGTGTACATGTGTATGGGCATGTACTGGTGTGGACATTGAAATTCGTTGGGAAGTCAAGCGGCCACTGGGTGCTGGCCTTGCAGCCGCCGTGAGCACTGCTGGTCCATGTTTACACTGGGTGCTGGCCTTGCAGCCGCCGTGAGCACTGCTGGTCCATGTTTACACTGGGTGCTGGCCTTGCAGCCGCCGTGAGCACTGCTGGTCCATGTTTACACTGGGTGCTGGCCTTGCAGCCGCCGTTAGCACTGCTGGTCCATGTTTACACTGGGTGCTGGCCTTGCAGCCGCCGTTAGCACTGCTGGTCCATGTTTACACTGGGTGCTGGCCTTGCAGCCGCCGTGAGCACTGCTGGTCCATGTTTACACTGGGTGCTGGCCTTGCAGCCGCCGTGAGCACTGCTGGTCCATGTTTACACTGGGTGCTGGCCTTGCAGCTGCCGTGAGCACTGCTGGTCCATGTTTACACTGGGTGCTGGCCTTGCAGCCGCCGTGAGCACTGCCGGTCCATGTTTACACTGGGTGCTGGCCTTGCAGCCGCCGTGAGCACTGCTGGTCCATGTTTACAGCGTGTGCGTGAACTACAGTGTGTGTGTGTGTGTGTATCCGCTAAGGCAGTAAGGGTGCCGGCCCCAGTCATTCCACCAGATTTCAATGTGCACGTTGTCTGCGTGTTACTCTTTGACATTAAATGTAAGTCCCCCCCCCCCTCTCTTTCTCCCTCTCACTCTCTGTCTGTCTGTCTGTCTCTCTGTCTCTCGCTCTCTCTCTCTCTGCCTCTCTGTCTGTGTCTGTCTGCCTGGCTGTCTGTCTGTGCGCGCATTTTTGTGCTTTCAGAATGGTGGTAGTGGGGATGAGATAAGTGTTGACAAAACTAGCACGGACTTGTCATCTAATGTTGGTGTTATGCTTGTGGATGGGCCATGGCGCGGTATCATACCCGAAAATCAGTATACCAATGGTCAGCTGCCTGAGGAACAGCTTGAAGCGCTTCGTGCTGCAACCGCTCCTGTCTGTGAATGAGACTCTTGATGGCCAGTGGCACGTGTATTGCGCAGTTCTGACGCATTCTCGTTTCATTTTTCCCAAGTACACTGCATGTACACTGTATTTATAAATCCTTTTTCATATCTCAGCTATATAATACTGATCAATCATCTCAGAGCAGTGTAACTATATTGGGCTGCTCGCGCACTTTCTGCAGGTTTTCTTTGCTGTGTTCTAAGCCAATGCCTATTCCAACGGGCAGTTTGAACTAGCATCAGCCAATATCCATAAATTATTAGAGCATCGCTCTCCATGCAACACACTGCAGCATTGCTGTTAGAGAGCCATGATTTAGCGTGCCCAGGCCCTGCTCATTTGAGCACTATTCAGCTTATTCATTCACTTTAGTGGGTTTTTAGTGATTTTTAGAGAGTTGTGACATAACAATGATTATGACTTCATCTCGTAAAGAATTTTAATTTGTGTTCCTGTTTTTTTTCTGCTACTTGACTTGGCCACGGGCATAGGACATACATTACATCGTAATGCACACATACATAGCAGTGCCGGTTGGCTGTCTTATAGTGACGGTGGCATGGCCTGAGAGTCAGCGGTGTGAGCAGATTGCTCCTTTTACCCCATAACTCCTGTTTCTTACTGTACCAGAAAGCCCTCTGATGCTGTGATGCAGCACTGGTGCCTGACTACTAGTACTACCAAGAGTACCAGCAAGAGTCCATAACCCTAACCCGGGGGGGGGGGGGGGGGAGATTATGGACTCTTGCTATCAGTGATCAGGCCTCAGTCAGGGTGATTAGAATTTAGATACCAAGACTCAATGATCTCTGAGTGAACGTTATGTAGTACCTGGTTATGTGCTCTTGACTTGTATCCAGACTCAGAGTCGAGTGCATGGACTGTTTATTGGAAAGGCTTTCTGTCTAAAGCCTTTCCATACTGGTGCTCGATGTTTTCAGTTTGGGGACACCAAAATTAGTGTACCGCTAAAGACACGTGGTCGACACGTTGTTGACACGTTGCTGACACTTTGTTGACACGTGACCCAATTACCGGCCTACCAAGTGCCTTTGGTGACCGCTAACAGCAACTGTGGAACAGTGCAGTGCCCTTTTTTGGAGCAACGTACGAGTAGTGCCCATGGATTATGACCCCGCGACCCCAATCTACGTGGCGGTCCGCAATTCGCTACTTCATACTGACTGGCGTCCGGCATCGTCCCGAATTTGGCCACAATCTGCTCTCGGGACCCCTATAGGGCTCCCTGACCTGCTCCATCTCCGCCATCGTCAATGTACTGCGCATCCACCCAGGCCAGGACTGCACTTACTTACGGGAAGGAGTATTTGCAAGATGGAACCTGGGAACTGGAAGACGACGAAGAGGAAGCGTGGGAATCCGGCGGCAATGGCTGGGATGTAAGTCCAACATTGCTGGTGCCAGAGTTGCCACTGCTTGCTTATAAGGGAATCATGTGTGTTGCCTTTTTGCCTTTTCCGACGTCCTCCTCCGACTGTACTCCCGATCCCAGGACTGAACTTACGGGAAGGAGTGCTTCCAAGATGGGAGACGAAGAAGAAGAAGCCGCTGAATCCGGCGGCAATGGCTGGGATGTAAGTCCAACATTGCTGGTGCTAGAGTTGCCACTGCTTGTTTATAAGGGATTCATGTGTGTTGCCCTTTTTTGCCTTCTCCCATGTTCTCCTCCGACTGTACTGGTGAACGCTGTCACATATGTTGCCCTTTCCAGACAGTAGAAGGGAGGGGGGGGGGCAGCACATCCTGGCATCCAGGAATGCTAGGCCCTAGGAACTAGGCAATCTGACCTTTCCTCTTACTCCAATAATGGTATGGATGGGGAGTTCTTGAACATCCTCAGTCTTGTTAGAGTGAACTGTGCAACTCGGCAATCGGTGATAGCAGAGGACCAATGCCGATGGCGATGCTCCTTCCTTTTTCTCTGTCACAGGCTGCGTTCTCGAGAGGAAGCGTTATTTCTGCATTCCAAGAAGGACGGCACAATGGTGAGTGGAACTTCGTGGGTGTGCAGCCTTGCTAGTTGAATTGTAAATCAACCATTCTTCCTGTCTCTGACTTCTTCAATGTCCTCCTCAGTGTCGGACTGTCCGCGTCGCATTGAACTGGTCCGATGAGGCTGCTATTGCACACACAGTGAGGGAACTCCCATACGGGAACTCGGAAGTACTGCTACAGTACAGGTAAGGTGGCCATTGCTTATGTGCGTGCACCGTTGTGGTCAACTTCTAAGCCAGCTGTACTCCAACCTTAATGGAGTTTGAAAGTAGTCAGCTGGCGAACTACAATTGAAGTTTAGACGTTATATGCCTCGGCTTGGTCAGCTTTTTCAGTTTCACAATGCATTGCACTCAGCACCGCTTCTCGGAATATCTTGTCAGGATAGCTGTGGAACGCATCCTCCCCAGTGGGGGAACGGCAAATGTGCTGTTCATTTTTTAGGCTTGCTTTTATGGTACGTACAAATCCCCATTGAAAAGACACAGTGGAGACCAGAAACTGCAAATAGATGTTGGGAACCGCGAAGACTACCCTTCCTTGTCAAGTTCCCTGAAGGTGTGGAGGGGGGGGGGGGGAGCGGAGGAGGGACATTCCTGCACTTCTTAAAGCAGGATTCACAGGAGCATTTTCAGAAATTGCTTGTACATTTGTACCAGTTGTAACCGACAAACGCATTCTCATTGAGCTTTGACTTGAGGCACGTCAGCAAGGCGCTGTTGCATCGCTGACGTCTTGTCCTGATTCTGTAAATGGTATTTTGTGCGAGTTTGCATCGCACGCAGAATCGCAGGTCGTGTCGCATTGCGCAGCACACTGCCAAATTGCTTCTGTGAATCCCACGTGAATGGGAATTCCAATGGGAATGTAATCCATTGCCAACAGGTGTATTCCCGAGCTGCTCATCATACTGCAAAATTGCTCCTGTGCATGCAAATGGATTTCATTGCTCTTCTGTAGTTTGGGAAATTCTCGATTATGATAATTCTGCGTGTGTGTGTACACCAGCCCTGAACATACATGTAGGTGACCCATTTGTGGTGTCTCATAGCCTACCTCACGACCTTATGCTTTCTTTCTGTATCACTTGTATCTTGCAGGTATATCACCCCGTGACGACCACATCGAAGTCTGAAATTGAAGTGTGAAGATGCTTCAGCAACCCCTTCATATTTTTCCATTGCTTTTATTGTGCTTCTACTGTGCATGTGTGTAACCTGTGGGGTATGCATGTGATGACAATGTATGCCGGTGACACGGTCAGATTTTGTCCATGCGTGTAACGTACACCTGCATGCTATCGTTGAAAAGGATCTGCCACTTACGATCTTCGGACGAGTATCAGGTCAGCTTGGTTTTGTGTGGGCTGTACCAGACGCTGTTCACTTCTCTATCTGTTGGATATGTGACTTTCTGCAAGTTTCTGGTGTATGGTGGCCACTTCTTTGCTTGTCTTTGTATGACATTACAATAATTCTGTATTCACTGCTTCCATGGTGTGGTCTGCAAACTGCAATCCTTAGGCAAATATCATCACGGTTTGCAATATTGTGCTTTGGCCGCTAGCTTACCTACACATTGTATATGTAGTTGAATTTTTTTTGTTTCACAACTGACTTCCTGAAGTATGGTGGCCACTGCTTTGCATGGCATTATACAATGTTCATCAAGAATTTCCTGTTTGGGTTGTGTGTGTGTATGTATGTGTGTGCGTGCCCATGTGTGTGTGTGCCATGTGCATGTGCGTGTTTGTCACAAGGTGTCTGTGTGCGGGGTAGCAAGGTGGGGAGGGCTGGAATGTATCAGTGTGCTACTGTAGTTGCATGGCTACATACAGTGCATCGCGCGCGTGCTCACCATGTGTATCTTCGGAGCTGGGGTGGGGTGGGGGAGGGAACAGAAAAAGAACTGAAATTACCCATATAAAAACCGCTCTGTGAGCGGTTCTGAAAAACCTCTACTGGTGCAGCCCCGTCGTAAAAGTAAGAAATTAGAACTGGCGCATTGTCCTCCCAAATGTGAACTGATCCACCTAAATCGCGATTGACGGGACCCGAACGCACCAGTAGCACGAGGTCGGGAGGGCACAGGATCACAGCCGGCGTCGGCGCTGATCAAGTTACCATACAACACTTAGATCTACACCGAAGCCCACCTTTGCCGCTTTGGCTTTGGCTATGGTCCGGACCAGCGTCCCCAGCTGCATCCACAGGTACTAGGTAGGAACCTCGTGCTACTGGTGCGTTCGGGTCCCGTCAATCGCGATTTAGGTGGATCAGTTCACATTTGGGAGGACAATGCGCCAGTTCTAATTTCTTACTTTTACGACGGGGCTGCACCAGTAGAGGTTTTTCAGAACCGCTCACAGAGCGGTTTTTATATGGGTAATTGACTCTTGCGCTTAAATTGCTTGTATGCAAGCCTTTGCAAAATAATAATTATTAATTGCAAGCCCATGCGAGGTCGAGTACTACGGTCACGTGTATCATAATCAGGGAGTCGTAAAATACCAGGTATTTTACGACTCCCTGATCATAATGACTACACAAAATAGTGACATCATGATTGTGACCTGAAAAATTATTTGCACTGATTATAATAAAATACATACCAGTATTATTGGCATTTTGGAAGGGAAGAGAAGATCACTCGATCCAATGCAATTACCCTGGAAAACGGTGCAGAATGTCCCTGAGGAGAACACCATCAGTGGTGCAGGGATGGAGTTATTTGAAGAACGTGGAGTGGTTAGCAGCGCAAAAGCCCTCCTCGATCGTGTCCACCCTGCGACCTCCTTCGGGGGAAGTGTCTCCTGGAATACCCATGAGAACGCTGAATACGTCTCCTGGACATTCTAAGTCTGCCGTGCTTGACAAAACAAGCCCAGGTTACACGCGCATGAAGGCTCTCCAGGACCAGCTGGAGCAGCACAGAGAGGATATGCAGAAGGAGCATGATCGTCTTAACGATGTGGTGAAATCACTTGCAATTCAGTTGAGGGATGTGAAAGACCTTTACTTATCTACACGTGATGAGCGTGATGCCCTGAAATCGCAAACTGAACGTGTGTCACTTCCACAGACCAAATCAAGAACACAGGAAAGACAACAGACGGCAAGCAAGTCCCCCCAGGCAGTGAAGCGGCAGCAGTCCCTGCCGCAAGAGAACTACCAGCAGCGTAATCGACAACATGAGAGAATGGAATCAGCGGAGCGTTACAATGCATCGAGCAACAACCTTCAACAGCCAGTTGCCTCAAGTGAAGACGATGACGCAGCCGACATAAAGACTACTGAGTAAGTAAAGTGCGCCACACGCGCTTGTGCACGGCACGCGCGTGCGTGCGCACACACACACACACACACACACGTGCACACACACACGTGCACACACACACGTGCACACACACGCACGTGCACACACACACACGTGCACACATGTACACACACACGTGCACACACACACACGCACTCTCACACACACACACACACACACACACACACACACACACTGCAGGTTGAACTAGCTTCATGCTACATGTAAACACGGATGCATTTGTATTTATAATAGGGGTGAAAGTTGGCACTGAGATCCCGAGTTCGAGTACTCTGATTTTCTCCGATCGAATATTCGAGTATTCGAGTATTCTTGATATCCCAAAAATCGCACACCAACCGCCTCAAAAATTACATGATACAACCCTGATTGAACCGATTGGCAGTTCTTTTCTCGGGTGAATTGGTTGGTGGGTCATTTGGGCTCTCTCTACTCGTGAACAAATGTTCACCACACAGTCTGCACATCAATATCTGCTGACTGCTGCTCTGTAACTGCAGACTTCTGTGGTAAATGTATGTACCATGTATGAGCGAGTACTCTGATTTATTCCGAGTACGATTATATTCGGAAAATCCAAACGAGTATTCGAATATTCGGTATAATTGTTTCACCCCTAATTTATAATAAAGAAAAGGACCAAAGAACTACAAGTTACGCTATAATGTCCACTAACACCACCAGTTACTTGACGATCACCTCATACGATAACATTGCACGAAAGTGACAAAACTGACCGACAGTAGAGACCTTTCGCATTTGCTACGAATTGATGCGAAACGAAAGTTTGATTTGGCTCGTAATCGTTTCGTTGAAAACAGATTCAGGTTTTGCAAGTCGTCATGCAAATGTGCATGGCAACTACGAATACGGCTGGTGGCTTGGCGTACGGGGGTTTTCACGCACACGTGCATGGATCATGGAATCAAGGGAAAACATGTGTACCTAGCAAAACATGTGTACCTGGCAAAAAAATGTGTACCTGACGGATTCAGAGCGTGCCACGAATGAAGAGGCTTCTATTCGTGAAAACGAGCTCTCTGCAGGGACTCTGACGAATCCTCGAACCCAGGTGACGAATCAGCATTCGTTTCGTATCCGTACGCGTGGTGCGAAAGGTCCCTAGTACTGACCTTTTACAACGAACTGGCTATCAGCTCTAGCACGTCTTGGGTGCGCACTCCAACAGCCTTCCAACTTGGAAGGTTCTAAGTTATATGAAAACATAGAAGGGGAACATTATAGCGTAACTTGTAGTTCCTTGGTCCTTTTCTTTTATTACAAATTAATCATTGGCTCTCCATCCGAGTCTATCCTTGCATTTGTATTTGCTTCACTTACACAGAGTAAAAGTCTGCCAGCCTTGATGCTAGTGTCAGTCAACACAGTCAACACAGTGTAGGCACATACTGTACTATCCCATGCAATTCATGTAGAGCATAGAAATGATGCTCTGGAGTCACAGTTTTGCACTGCACTGTGTTGAGGGATATAGTGGTCAGTAAAGTGCAATGCTGTGGTCATAGACCGATGGTGTAGCCATGGTACATGACTGTACAGCTATGCTATGGGCTTGCTGGCTGCCTCTGTCCTGGTCAGGGTATTGCTTTTGTACCGACGAGCTTCAAACTGTTTGTCCCTGTGGCCATGCTTTGCTCTATTCTGTTCGTGTTTTTAGATCTAAGGACAGTAAAACTGCTTCAGCAGCAGGAAGTCAGCAGTTTGAATACACCAAGCAACTGACATATCTGGAAATGTCAGACATTGTGAATTCGCTGAACAAGGTAATACATGTACTGTATGCCCCTTGGCTGGGCACACCTTGTAAATGCATGTAGAGTGACCATGTTACTACATGTATTAGCACCTGCCCTAACGTTTGCACCCTACTTGTGGCCTGGCACGAGCGTAACGTGGATGCAGCAAATGGGATTCCGGCCTTTGAACTCTGGCTGGTGGATCTCATCTCTCGCCCCCCACCGTTGAGGAGCTGCATCCGCCACCTGATGATGGTGTGGTGGCATCCCACTCACTGGAGTGGAGAAGTTAGTTCTTGGCCCACCCAGTACTTGGATCCCCCACCATGTTATAACAGTTACAACCCTATTTTCATTGAATGGCTTGTGAGAGGAGGACTGAGGCATGGGACCTTGCCATAAACACATGTAAACTAATTTGAGGACACCACGCTTGATGGTGGCACTATCCTTGACGGCCACCGAAGCGCGGGGGGGGGGGGGGGGGGGGGGGCAGAAATTGTGTGTAGGAAGGCGTATCACGTCAAAGAGAAAAGCTCTACCATGCACACCACCTCTAGGCCCTGCGCCATTTTTCCGAGCGATGAAAGATTTCTCCCTGTAGCTCATGTGACTGAAATCCCTACGCTTATGAGTCGTGCTTGGTATTTCAAAGTAGAATGAGAGGCACATGGAAAGCTGCTTACGAAGAACACATGCCGAAGTATTCCCTTCCCTCCACCGGCCAGATGTGGGGTGGCAGATACACCTTTTTTTGGTAACCACTTGTTTGTGTTTGAAGATATGTCTTTCATACAAGTAATAACTATGATTTTAACCCTTTAAGAGCCGCCCCATACTTGAATGCGTCGTAAACGACGCATTCAAATGCAAAACTTCCAAAGATCGTAACTCAGTCCAATCTCGCTCAAATCCAGTGATCGAAATATCCAGGGCGAAGAGAAAACTCTCACCTGTCGGGAGAAACAATCCGCGAAGCGCTGCGAGCTACGGTTCCTGAGATAAATCACTCGTAAGTTGAGCCGCGATCGCGGCAATTTCAAAAGCGCGCAGTGCGACTTTAGTATTGAGAATTTTGAGACTTTTCGTCACGCTGGTTTACTCGAATTTGCACGGGTTTCACTGTTGATATTGTCAAGAGTACACAGCGAAAAAATCGGAACTCCACGATCGAGCAAAATGAAATATCTGGAGCGGGACGCAATTGGACGCATTTGGGGCATTTTTCGTACTGTCGCTGCGATCTAGCGCTGGATAGACGGTGTGCTGGCGATCATGATCGACCTCATTCTCTTCCTCTCGCGGAGACCTTTCCAGGAAGCCCTAGATTGTGAGGATTGAGTGAGTAGAACTGAAGCTATGGTCCAAGGAACACGAAAAAATGCAGAATTTTGAAATTTTCCTGTGGCTCTTAAAGGGTTAAAAACATGATGCCTGTATACTGCCATGATGGAATAATAAAATGAAAATAATGTACACTCAGATTGGTCTGTATTTCTTTGCTGTATTTCCTGACCCCGGTGTTGATCTGTTGTCCCTTTTCTGCTGTAGCACAAGCATGTGCCAGAAGAAACAATTCGAGGCCTGAGCATTTACCAGCTGGTGCAGATTATTTTCTCGCTGAAAAAGGTAACGGCTCCGTGCCTGGTTCCCACTGTGATACCGCAAAGCCCGTAATAAGGCCCTGGGCGGAAACGTTAGTAAAGGTCCAGAACAAGGGTGTCAAATTGGGTCTGGGCGTTATTTCGGATAAGCGACATCAGACTGATTTTCACATCAACATGCCATTCTATGTACAGGGTTAGAACAGTGTACTGTACACTATATTACCGTATTGTACATGCAAGTGGAGCTGTGCATGCACTGCACTGTGTACTGGGCCTGTGCTTTCGCCCACGGGCGTTCGCACGGAGGTGGGCTAGAAATTGGGACAAGAGTGTTGACACCTGGCACCTGGGCGTGTACACGGGCAGCGGGCGTTATAGTGGATGGGCGTTAATAGGGGCTTTTACGGTACATGAAGCCATGTATCTTGAGTCATTGTCCTCTTCCCGGTGAACTTCTGTTATCTAGTGTGTGAATCATCTGGCGGCAGCTACAGGTCTCGTCATGGTTATCCAATTGCTTAGATATCTATACCGTATGCCAGCGCCTTTAAAGCTATGGCCTTATATTCGAAACACCGCTGCTTTCCTAGCTATTTTAGATGCAAAATAACTCACCCACTACGCCATGCCATAAAAGTCAAAGTCCACACAGAAATGCCAATCTAAATCCACTTGTTCACCTTTCCTGCTGGGCTGTAAGTATTAGTTTGTTAGTATAGTACGTACCGTAATCAAGTGGTATAGTACTTATTATTCCTTCATATTTACAAAACCTACTTCAGATGTCATTTCATTTACGAAGCCCATGGCTTTATAACCGGATGTACCTCCATGGCTTTAAAGGTGCGCACATCAGAAAATTGCTTAGCTCTCACACCAAAATTTGAATTATTTGAAAAGTTCTGACGGACTGGACTTGTGACATGCACTGTAACTTACATGTACATGTGCTGCTGCTCTGCAGTAGGAACACAATTCCAAAGACATCACAAATGTAGGCACAAGGTGATCACAGTGTGATATAGGTGCGGGGCAAGAGTACACAATCAAGTGTGCAACTCCGCCATCTTTCAGCCGACAGCGTAATTTTTAAGGACATGAGTCTTCTGCGGCCATTTAGCTCACTGATGCCATCATACTCAGGTTGTGTTTGTTCTGTCGTGCCGGGAATCTGCATGAAATGCATTCGATCTGCATCGCGGAATCAGAATGAGGGTGCCGAATAAACGGTGACAGCGTGCACTAGGGATTCTGACGAAATTGCGGAACTCACGATGTAAAAACAGAAATGACTACCTGTATATCATCAATATTCCATATGTTTTCATGTTGAAAATCATCTTACTTTGAAGTAGTTCTGAGTTTTCTGTGTGGTGATGTGCCCAACGATACTGCGCTGTGCCTTGTTGTGCAGTTTGGTGGTGTGATGTGTCTATCATTACTGCGCTGTGCCTTATTGTGCAGCTTGGCGGCGGCAAGGAAGTGACCAAAAGCGCTCAGGCTGCACTCTATGTGCCGTTGCATTCTCAAGTCATGTGCCACAGCAATTCTCTGCCGCTGAAGGTGTTTCTCAACCTGGTGACTGAGTTGCTGTCTTGGGGTCGGCATGATCCTGTCCTTCCGAGATATGCTATGGACATCGTCTTTCAGCGACATGGCAGTCAACAGCCACTGTCATTGCACACTCTCTTCTCGCTGATTTCTCTCCTCCACACCAAGTAAGCTGTCTAGATAGGATTTCTAATAGGGTAAAACAGTTGTCTGCCGATATGATGAGTAGATAAGACTGGTATGGTACAGTAACTGCACAACACTGCACAGCTGGCGGTGGGCAGTATGCTACTGTATTGTGAGCAGTACAGTCCGTTCTGAAAAAAGGTTATTATCTTGCTTTTGACCGTAAATGAGTGAACGGTTGACCTTTTTTAGATTTCTTTTGCCCATGTAGTGTTCCCATTGTGTTGCGGTTCATTCCTCCTCAAAAGGGACCATACCAAGGCTGACTTTCCGCCAGGGTTCGTGGATTTTGGCCAAGGGTAGCTTCGATAAATGTGCAGGCTCAGAAACTCATTTTGGACTGAACTATAATTGGGTTCTTGAGCTATAATCGGCCTAAATCAGGTTGTTCAATTACTTCTGGCTGCACAGTAGGTAGTACGCTACTGTGCTACAATTGTAGTACCGGTACTGTACTGCAGGTTGGACGCTGGGTAGCAGATAGCTTCGGCAGTGATTCCAACACGTTACAGTGAGCTGCAGATGGTGTGGAAACAGTTCGCTTTCAAGTTCGCAGATATTGCTACCCTGATAAATAGCTATGCACTGCTCAGTGTGGGTGATTTTGAGCATTGTTCAGGGGAGATGTTTCATTTGTTGTCAAGTTTGAATGCCATATTTTTTGGTTTGAACGTTTAGACTCTCATTCATTGTTGTTTTGCTTGTTGGTGTGTGTCTCCACCGTTGTCCTGCAACCCTGCAGCTATAATTCTTTGTACAAGGAGACCACTGGCAAGCTAGTCAATCAACTTGTGCACCAGGTCTCAGCGCAGTCAATTCAAAATCTACCGTCCGATCATGTCCTGTTGCTGGGCGAGGTCCTGATGAGTCCATCACTTGCCAAGTACGTGAACACAGCTGCACGTCGCTCCTGCCTGCATATCCTCCTGGTGCACTTGAAGTCTAGCCATAGCAATAGCAGGTCCCTCTCTATTGTCTCTCTGCGCTGGGATTTGTACAACTACTTGCATCGACTTGAAGACACCTGACGTGTGCCAGTCCTGTTCTTCATCGTCTTTGTGAAGTTAGTTTTTATGCCGTTTTGTAGCTAGACATTACTGCCGCAGGCATGATATGTTTTTTTTATTCAAAGGGTTGCATATCAACATTTCAAGATGAGCACCATAGTCATAGAGCCAAAGTGACATTGCAGTACTTTGTCATTCTATCCCAAGCATACTAACAGCAAGATTGGCTGTCTTGAAACTTTCTTTAGCTAATAATTATGCCTGAGAATGATTTGAGATCAGTAGAGTGAGGTGAATATGTTAAAAAGTAACTGCTTCGAGGTATTCCTTTTCTTTTCTAGTTGATGCTAATCACTGTAGTATGAACACATTGGTGGGCCATTATTCCACATGATTGTACTGATGGATATGCTGACGCTCATTCTCTGGTCGCTTCTTCTCTACCAATAAACTGATGAATACCCCCACCACCACCACCACACTCTATTTTGCTCAATTTTTTTGAAAGAATAGTGCTTGTCTGATCCAACCCAACTGTAGAAAAATGCTCAATCTTCGATACTCGCAGGATAAGATTATTACGATTATGAGTAGTATCACATGCGCATGCGCGCGCACATGCACAAACTATGGAGCTAGTACACGTGGACCAGGCCTTTCACGACTCAACCGTAGAACAATTTACATTATGCTTTGTTTTGTCACCGGGTTCTACTATATGTAGAACATGGGGGGGGAGAGAGAGAGAGAGAGAGAGAGAGAGAGAGAGAGAGAGAGAGAGAGAGAGAGAGAGAGAGAGAGAGAGAGAGAGAGAGAGAGAGAGAACTTGCCTTGTCACACAAAGTGCAACCTGCGAGCACACAGCGCACCCAAAACGGGGCAATTGTTGGCCGCATTTTCGTTGCGTGAACTGAACAACACAAATTTGAAAAAAGAGCGGGATTGGCCATCAAAGCCAAGGCTGTGCCCCCCTGGCTAGAGCCCTGTTGTCACCAACCAGTACATAATTATTATGATACGGTGTCTGATGTTTCCCAGCATCAGAGTCCGCTGTAGAGCGCTTGTAGCGGTTTTTGTGTGTGTGCCGAAAAAAATCAAGTACAAGTACCAAGGAGTACACTACCATCAGCTAAACATGTTTTCATAATGTAATTTGACTAGTTCACAATACTGCGCACTGACTGGAAATTGAATGCTGTAAACCGCCCAATTTCCGGGTCACTAAAGTTTTGCGATTTCTCAGAACCAGCAAGTCTACGTTGGCAAATGTTCGCGGACACTGTGGTCGCACGCACACACCACACACACACACACACTGTTGAAGTTTGATTTCCCGATGGTTAATATTCGCGTTACGCTCTCCTAGCAAAACTAACAAACACTATAAATATGCCGCAAACCGATTGGGCAGTTAACAGTAGCCCGGCGTACTACCGTATTTTCCCGATTATAAGTCGTTTACACTAAAGACTTCAAGGGCAAAGCAGGGGAGGGTGACTTACAATGGAGTGCATGTGGCATCTTACTTATGTGAATACACGAATAGATAATGAAAAACGGTCAGCATGGAAATGATGTGATCATGTGTACACGGCTGGAGGCCCAAGTGGTCTACATAAAAATAACATGCTGTCCCCGGGGAAAATCGCGCAAAAAATCGCAAAAAAACGCGGCATAATATGGCATAATTTGCGGTAAATATGCGGTGAATATTATTGATATCATCTCACGGCGGCAAGCTTGCAGTTGATATGAGGCAATTTTCAGTGAGTATGTGGTGAAATCAATCAGTTACAAGTCTCTGGTGTAAGCACTCGTCATATTTGAGTACAAAGCCGCCACGATGAGACGTTGCTGACCGAACAGTGCACTGTGTGTACGTGTAGTGCAACAAAAAGTTCAAAAATCGCGGAAAACGCAGTCTTTTAAAAAATCGCAAAAAACGCGGCCGCGGAATCGCGATTTTCCCCGGGGACAGAACATGCTAAAATTAGTAATATGACTGCCAGGAGGTTTTCGCAGATTCCTGCAGTAGAGAAGAGAAATCGGCTACAAACTCAGCGATTGTGGCTGTAACAATGCACAATGAACGCCACCACTCTATAACGCACTTGGGAAGACCCACTCCACTTGCACATCACCACCACCGTAGGACTACTTAGTATTGAGACCAGGGAGTAGTAAAATACTACTCCCTGGTCTCAATAGAATAAAGCACTACTCCCCGATTGTGACAGTGCTTTGCCAGACCCCCCCCCCCCCAGACAGCTGTTTCGTTCCAACCATGTACCAGGGATAAATCTGAGATAGGAATTTTCTTCAGACTTTTTTTCCCTATTCAGTCCCTCAGATTCGTACTTATGAATATTATTAGGTACAGGAATGATGTAAACGTTCTTCAGAGGCTATTGAAATCGCAGCGTAAGACAGTGTTGGCGGTGGTGGTGGTGATGAATCTGGTGCTGTTGGCTAAAAGAGGAATGATGTTGCATAGAAAAAACCATGTACTTCGAAGTAGCATTGAAAACATGGGATCAAACTGAGCCCTCCTCAGTTTCTTTCCGCATGAAGTCCAAGTACTCTGGAGAACCGCAAGCAATCTCCACGGCTACTATTTGTGGACAATCGTAGTTATGCTTCTTTAAAAGAAACTTCTCAACGGCATCATACCGATTGAGGTTGCATTTAATCACAAGTTGATATTCAGGATCCATCTGTGTTGCTCCAGCCCATCGGTACACCGATGTTATCTCCTTCATCTGTACACAAGCAGCCAGTCGACTTTCTACAAGTGCTTGAGCCAGCTCCTTTGCTTTCACTAAGGAATCCGTAGTCGTTAAGACCATGCCAGGTCTGAACTCTTCTCCACTGCCACTGGCCATGCTTGTCGTTGAACTTGGTCTGGTTAAACCAAGCAAGAAGTATGGCAGTGAGTTCAATGCACCCCAGGTTCTACGCTCGCAGCGATTACTGCTGGTATGTACCGTCCTGGTGCTGCTCTGAGTACTGCTAGCAACAGACCTACAGCTCAATGCACGTACCACAAGCAGGACTGCTACTCCCTTGGAGGAGGTTCGACGAAACATGTACCTACAGGTAGCTGCAGGTGCAGGCCGGGTGTGAGACGACAAATGCCAGTACAAATGCGTCTATTCAACAGAACTAACAACATGGGCTGGTTGTCTATGTGCAAGACAAGAATCATGAGCAGTATTACCTGACAAGTATCAGGACACACTATAACTTATAAGGAAAACAGCATGCTTCTTAGTTCTACCTCTACATGTATGTACTTGTCTCCTCTTCTACTTTTTATTGTAGAGTCTCGATCTCGTGAAGTCTGAAGCCCTAAATTATGTACAGCTAATGCTATACTATAGTATTAGCTCTCTTCTAAAATAATTCAAAAAATTAAAAAGATACACAACTTATAGACTGTGCAATGTGTGCATGTGTAGTGCTAGTGCTAGTGTAGTGGTACGGTACAGTATGAGTTGGTAAGACTCGACTCCGAGTGGACGTCGACGTCATGGCTCATGCTCAAGTGACGTCATCAGGCGGCCGCGCCGCGCCGCGCCGCCGCCATCGACTGCGCGCACCGTACCGTACAGGTCACACAACAAGAAAAAAGAAGAAAAAAATGAAGAAGAAGATTGATTGTGTTGCGCTCTCGTGAGCTGAGCTGAGGTGTTATTTCATTGATGTTCTTGTGCAGTTGTTGTGAGTGTTGTGTGATAGACTGCGCCTAGTTATTCTCCCCAGCCAGTTTTTGAGTACTAGTATTTCCATTGTGTTGCGATAGAAGCTAAGGCCCTTTTTTTTCTTCGCCTTGACAACTTGTTACTGCACCGGAGCCATGAGTGGATTTGTAAGTTATGTAGCTACTACAGTAATCAATCACTTCACTTTGTTCGCGTATAAACATTTTAGTCAACTAACTATGAAGTACAATGCTTTTTCTGTAGCCTCGTAATCGTACTGAACTCCTGACGCAGGCAGTTGCCATCTAGCCCTACAAAAATAGTTCAACGAACTCTAGGCATGGTGTACATGTACTTTATCAGAAAAAAAAGTATTCTACCTTTGTCTAGTGGTGGTGACTGATCATGAAAGTATTCTCTCGTATATTATGATTAATAAAGATAAGTATTCTTTCTAGACGAGGAGAACTTCTTTATCCACTGGCGATGTTGTTCAGAACAACGAAACGTCTGGAAAAGTATCGTAAATATTTCTTCTTTTTTTGATATTTATACAATGAGAGTGTTTAACCAATGGCTTGTCCACCAACTCTGTATATTGTACTTACTTGATTTTGAATTTGTTTTTGTCTTCGTTTTGTCTTTGTTGTTTCAGAGCTACTGGCTACGGTTGCGTGGCCTTCCCTTCAACAGTGCGCCTATAGATATATGCAGATTTCTGAAAGATGTTCGATTGGAAGGAGGAGTGGATGGAGTATATTTCGGCATGAACCAGCAAGGAAAACCCTCGGGAGAGGCGTTCGTAGAAGTTCTAACAGAAGAAGAAGTGGAGAAAGCTCTGCTTCATCACAAGGCTTTAATTGGAAATCGGTACATTGAGGTGTATGCGTCGAGTGAGGATGAGATGTGGCGCAAAACGGAGCGAGGTCGCAAGCCAGGTCACTTCGTCCGTTTGAGAGGCTTGCCTTTTGGTTGCCTGAAGGAGGACATCAAAATGTTCTTTGAAGGCAAGTCACATTTTCTTGGGTCTTTTCAGTCAATTTCACAATATAAAACAACAGGTAGAAAATGCATAAAGATGAAGGAAACCCGAACATCAAATTACATAGAGAGTTAGATTAGGCCAGTTTTATCCCTTTTCCTATGATCATCAGTAGCAACTTTTGACAAACCTTTGATTTGACTGTGCCTATTGGCAGAAAAGCAGTACTACTGCGCAATCAGCACACGGCTGAGTCCGCTGAGCCTGCAGCTGTGCGTGTGTGTCACTCCTACACTATATACGTGAAGCTTATGGTCTTGCATTGGGCCCCTAAACATCTGATAGGATGCAGACTTGCAGCTTACAAGCAGGCCTTGCTTTTATCCAGCTCCCTCACCAACCAGGCCAGGCAGAAAAGTGGTCAGCAGATTTACAGGAAACAGCTCATGGGACAGTAGGTTGTGGACGACTTGTTTCCAGTTAATCACATACAGATGGAACCTTGATAATTCGAATCCCAAATGCTGGGGAAAACTTCTAGTTATCCGGACATTCTAAATTCTAATTATCCAAAATATGTAGTAGTAACCGCAACACATGCATGTCGAAATAAAATGCTCAGAGTGCGCTATGTACCATACACAACAATTTTGCTGACACTGAACTGGCCAGTACAGCTTGTTCGTGCACACTGAACTGACCAGTGCAGTGTACAGTGAAATTAGCTTTACACCTTGCTTCATCAGGATTCTTCCTGTACCGGTAAATTTGGGTTCTGACTTTAACAGTGTACTGTTTCTTGATAATCATGCCCGGCTTAGGTTGTTACATTCGACCTCGTGGCATTACACTACTGCTGGACAAGCAGGAGCGTTGCAGTGGTGGTGCATACGTCGAGTTTGCTACTAAGAAAGGGTTTGACCTGGCGCTTCAACGCCACCGGAACACCATGGGCGAAAGGTAAGATTGGAGCCACGCTGCCATCATAAGTGCATGTGTTTGCTCTGCAGTGGCTTTCTGGTGGTGTCTGATTAGATCCCAGTTGTATTCATTTTGAGCTCCCCCCCCCCCCCCCCCCCCATCCATTTACATCCATAGTGCTTACGTATTGACCAACACATCAATGCCATATGTTTTGGGCACAGACAAGTAGCTATTAGAGAGGTTCAGCAACTTGTTTGTTTCAAATGAAACAAGTATTTTGCCTTCGTCTGTGTTAGAGTCTCGTCGAGACCTTATAGATTAGACGTGTTTACATGTGTCCGGGCGGTTTATTAATTCATGAGAAACTCCGATATTGCACTACCCCAAATTAGGAAGCCGCCCGTTAACCCTGTAAGACCTAAATTGCAATGCTGTTCCGTGACTGAAATGTCAATATTGATTTCTCTGCAATGCTACAGTTTAGCTGTTCAGCAATGTAAAGCTGAGCTCTTGGCTACTTCCTAGATACTTCAGTTCTACATTTTCGTGAAAAATTAATCGACTTTAATATGAACTTTTGAGTGCATGCAACTCCATTGTGCACCAGAGATCGATTCAAGTAAACACAGATGTTACAGGGTTAAGCTGATGATGTTCACTGCACATGTGGGCAAAGAATTTCAATGTGCAATCGTAGTGCACCCGTTGACCTCATTGATAAGTCACTATATCTATTTAACGCCTTCCACTATTTGAAGCAATGCATTTATCTTGATCCGTTTCGGAATCAAACTTCTTGTCTACCTTTGCAGGTATGTGGAGGTTTTCTCGGCATCTGAGGTGGAGCTAAATCAGCTGATAGAGAAGTCACGGGATGGTGTCCGTGGCTTCAGTGTTATGGTGGGTAGTGGCGGTGGTGGTGGTGGTGGTGGTCCACCGTCTGGTCCAGGTGCAGGTCGAGGTCGAGGTGGACGACCTCGTGATATGGGAATGCGAGAGCGGGAAAGCCGAGAGCCCATGTTCCATGGCCGTGACGACCGTCATATGTACCCTGGCTTTGAGCAAGGCCGGCGAGCCATGGCTGAACGAGGACGGGGAATGCGCATGGGTGGCGAGGAGCTCCGTATTCCCCGGCAGACTATTCCTATTCGTGAAGCTGACATTCACGGGCCTGAGCCTCTCCATGTTCCTGTCGTCTCTCCAGCTCCAGGTAATTGCCTAGATGGATATGTTGGTGTAATTTATTTTGCCTCGTCGTGAAATGTGTATTTGTACATGCCGGGAGTTTCCCCGGGCGTTTTGTCGGTGAAAGCTGCTGTGTATGATGTACCGGTAGTATTGTTTTTATATACACATGCCCCTGACAGTCACTACTTAGGGTACCGTAAAGTCTGCTGTAAAGTGTAAACACCCACCCTCCCTGTGCAAGATATACAGGCCTGTGGACATTTGGGGCATATTTCACACCGTCGCTGCTTTCTAGTGCTGGACAAACAATGTCCTGGCTATCATGGTCAACCTCATTCTCATCCTCCCGTGGAGATCTTTCAAGGAAGTCAAAGATTGTGGAGATTGAGTAAGTAGAACTGAATTTATGATCCTAAAGAACACGGAAAATGCAGAATTCTGACATTTTCCTATGGTGGAGGTGAAACCAACGATAAATCGAAGAAAACTTGTGCCATAGTGTGCAATTTCTAAGGGGCCATCCGTAAATATAGATATTTATTTAGAAACGAAAACTAGTCGTTTAAGGGGGAGGGGGTTGAGCGCCTGTTCGTTTCTCGAAAAATATCGATGCACAGTTTGTATGTGTGGGCATGTCCAGAAAAGAAAAGAAAAAATATCGATACTATGCATCGTTTATATGTGTTCGTTTCTGAGGGAGGGGGGAGGGGGGTTGAAGAGAAACGACTAGTTTTCGTTTCTAAATAAATATCGGTATTTACGGATGGCCCCTAAGGTAGAGGGTAGATTTATAAGATTTTTTATTCTGTTGTCACCCCGTGCAATAGTGCTAGTTCAGCTGTATTGTTATATAGACTCTAAACATGCCATAATTGCGTGTTTAGAGACTTGCCATCCTTGGTGCCAGGATTCTGTTTGAAATTTGTCTTCTCGGTCTGCCATTGTCATTTTCTGGTTTTTGATGGCTATGCTGCTACATTACCAATACATGTACAAGTAGTTGTACTACTGTATCATGCACTGTTGTGGTTTGTTTTGCTGTGGAGTTGTCTTGTGTGTTTGTCTATGGTGCATGCTCTGTGCATGCTGCTAATAATCACGTTTATGCATGCATTGTGATCCTGCAGAACACCGTGTCCATGTCAGGGGTATGCCACCGTCAGCAAATGCCTCCGATTTGACCAAACTGTTTTACCCTATCGCAGTCATGAATGTGTTGCTCATCAACGACCCACAGGGCCGGCCAACAGGAGAAGCCGATGTTTTCTTCAACTCTCATACAGAAGCTATCAAGGCCCTAGATGTCAAGCGCCAAATGGGTGCGTTTTCACTTGCTTTTCCGTCTCTCTCTTTCTCTCTCTCTCTCTCTCTCTCTCTTTCTTTCTTTCTCTGTCTCTCACTCTCTTCCTCCATCTCCTCTTGGATCTTATTGTATAGATCATCATTATTGGTGTGGCAGTGGGTCTTATGGCGATGTTGATCTTGGTGTCCTGTCTGTGCTGTCTCTATGTTGTCTTTGAACTCTGTGTGCATTGTACAGGGAACTTCCGCCTCGACTTCTATCTTCATTCTGAGCCAGGAGCTGCAGAGAGGACGCACGATTCGGGGTCAGTGAGTCACTCATTACACAGTGGTGGTAGTGGTGGCGGTGGTGGCGGCTCACATGGCATGCATGTTCACAGTGGGTTCCAATCGCAAGCATCTGGCTTCGACTCCTTGTCGGCATCGGTGGGTTTTGCCGGTGACGTGGACCACCGCGCTAGAGCCGGAAGTAGAGGTGCTGGTGCCGGGTATGGCCATGGCCATGGAGCTGGCGGTGGCCAGTACCAACCTGGCAGGGCATCATATGGTAGGGGTCAGGCATTTTCTAGGGACGACGGTGCTGGCAGGATGCCGCTTCGGGGCGCTGGTTACGCTTTTGAGGGCCGGCACTTCTAGAACGGTGTGTCAGCTGTGTATTGATTGACCTGCCGTTATGTCGAATTGTAGCAACGGTACTAGTCTATGCAGCTTGGATTCTAGGCGCTGGTCATTGTGGTGGCGGTGTTGGGCAAAGCAGTATTGTGAATGCTGATGTATTCCTCAAGGCTGCTGACGCGTGCAAGGATGCGTATGTTAGACAGGTGCGCAGTGCACTCTGTGGATTGTGTTATGTGCCGAGGTGAGCACATCATGTAGTATACTTAGGGGTAGCGTGTGGTGGGCATCATCATCAGCAGCAGCAGCACTGGCTACATGTATTTACAAGCATGTCATCGGCTTTTATCACCTCTTCCCTTCACTTACTTTTCTGTGTTGCTTGTCAATGACACTAGTACATAACCGTTATCTTTGGTTGATCACGGAGTTCTAGCCCAGTCCAGAAGTGCCGAGAGGTGCCTATAGCTTTCTCACGCGTTGTTTTGTTGTGTTGGTGTCTTGTTAGCTTATTCACTCTGCTTTTGTAATGTTTAGGGGAAGGAAGTTCATATTGTATGCATATGTAGTCCTTGAAAGTTGCATTTTTAAACTCCATCTGTTATCTGGCATTTGGCTGGCGTGGGATATGAGTAGGTTCCCTGGCTTGTTTTGTTGCAGCTACAGCCTGCATTGGTGTGTGAGCCGGTGCTTGTGTTAGAGGCCGGTTTGCTGACATGCAGCCACACACACATGGGGCTGGTATACGTACATGGGTGCTGCTAGCGAGTACCATGCCCTTGGCGAGCAGTCTGGGCTTGGCTTGATGTTTGGATGGAACTGGCTCTGAGCTAGAATGAACATGCTGGGAGTGTGGGGTTTTGTGCTGATGCCAACAATGGAACTCGAAAGCTGCGGTTGTGTTCGGGTAAACAGCTGCGACTCGGTAGGTATTGTGCATTTACTGGTATATGCATTGTGTGCAGCTTCTTGCTATGGAGCATGGCACCGGGTTTGCTACGAGCATGGCTACCGTCTGCATGGGTGGGAATTTCTACTTTCTTTCCAACGTTCCAGTATCCTTGATTGTCTTTGAGACAACGAACTTTAACGTGGCGTGACTGTGCTCGACTACGTGCTTGGTGTGATACCTTGAGGAGCATCCGGTTTTGTCAAACTGACTCTGGCCGCCGAGCAGATATTTTGACTGGCAGTGGCGCTGCTTTGTTCACTGTGTATCCCACATGCCTGTATTGTTGGTTGCTTTCCCACTGACTGGGATATGGCAACATCATGCACTTCAAGACATAGCACAGGCAGCATGCATGTTCACCATGAAGAAGGTCCAACATATAGGCTGTGATCTGCTTTGGCAGGTTTGGAATTGGGCACTGTTGCTCGTTACTATGAATCGTTAAGAATGAGTGGAGGAAGCACTCAAACACTGCACTGCTATAGAATCGTCGAGCACATGTCGATTCAGGTACTTTTGACCTGTTGCTAAATTGATCTTGATACTAGGTGCACTAATGTTTGGTACATGTGTTATGCTTGCACGCCACCAACTTGGTCACCTGTCACCTGCCTTGACCAATGGATATTGATGCTGTATAAGCCTGTGTTTAGGAAGCCCTGGGTGTAAAGAATGGAGGCCTTTGTTTCTGGGCGTGTACATGCACTTTGAAACGGATGGCAATGCTAAAAATCCTGCTCTCATCAAATGAACATTCTACGTACGAGTATACAGCGTACATGTACATGTATGTAATGCATCTGCTACTACGGCTAGTATAGCCGGTGGCAACACGAATGTCCCGACTTCGTGCCACAGCAGCACAGTGGACAGAGGCTATATTGGTTCACTGTGTCCTGCACATACTGCACTTACCAGACAACAAGCTGTAGGGCAGAAAGGCTGAGCATGCCGCTATATGTACGAGGACACATGAAGGTGTAGCCATGTCAATCACAGGGATACAGTTCCCGTACCAGGAATTGCTTAGATTGCGGTGGCAGCGTGTGTGTGGCGCCGGTGCAACATACAATGTACATGAGCTACCGTGCTGCTGTGAGTTGTGTAGGCGCCTGCAACTGGGTGCATGGCAGATTTTTAAATTATGTGCGTGTTGCTTTTGCAAGACTGAGCATGCAACTTACATGGAGGGGAGGGTAGGCTTATGCATAGGCTTTTTGGTAGTGCACTGGGAGGGACCGTTGCACCACCTATCCACACACTACACAGCGCCATGTCCTGTGGCCACTGCTGTGTCTCGATCCGAATAGAGCAATGCACCCCTAGGCCCCAGTCATATTGGATACCAGTAGTCTTTTTTTACTAGTTGGCTTTTGTTACTACGTAAATGAACACAAGAGCATGGTGGGCTGGTACGACCATGTGTCTGACTAGCAACTGTGTGCAAACCGGGCATGAATACGGTGGTTGACTTGTTGAGCAGTTGTTTCCTGGAAAACTGAACTTTAGGTCTGAAATGAACGATCCCTTCAGGGGTGCGATGCATAAGTCTTCGCTGTTGTTTGAAAGTAGACCAGTGCCATGCTAGACTCCTTTCTCGGGCACAGCGCTGTGCTGTGTTCTCTGAACTGTGCCGTTGGCGTTGTCCTGAGAACGTGGTGTGAATTTCACCGCATCCATCACCCAGTGAGTCTTCCAGATGAGCTCCAATGCGGCATTGGTGAGGGTAGCTAGGGGCTATGTCCTGTCATTGGAGGGGCTTGAGAGGGTGATTAACTGCCAGCAGTATCTGTGAGGACAATAATTTTCCATTCTTGCCTGTCCTGGCCTGAAGATGCTGGCATGTCCAAGTTCAACATGTTCTTTGCTGGCTTCTCTTCGTAGCTTTTATAAAATGTTCAATGCGTGGGGATTTCTGTAAGGCAATTAATTATATGTGGGGGTTGATGTAAGACAGTGATGGATGAGCTGGAAAGTACTGTGCCAGTACTGGAGGTGTCAGTCTTGGGTAGGACCTAGAAATACTGCATAGCACAGACATGTTGCCAGTGGCGGAGAAACAGGCGTGCATAGGAAGCAGATTCTCACTGACCCGGCGAGCTGTGATCCAGGTGCCAACGGTTTCCACAGCAAGGACTTGCTGACTTGCAGGATCACTACGCTACAAGAAGTACATGATTCAATAGCTATGAAACTATCCAGCCCACTTTGGGCGAATTTTCAATACAGGCCTGTGCAATCTCAAGTTATCATCACCCTACTTTTTGCATGGATTTCAATGAGACTATTCTCACTGCATAGCACACAGACTTTGCAGCATTTATCAGAGGCTCCCTGGATTAAACAATTCTTCCAGTGGTTTCTTCCGTTTATTTTTAGTCCCCACCCCCAGCACCACGCGATATTTGTTGACATGACTGCCTACAACCAGGAGGAGTACCTATACCCCTCCCTCTCCCCCTCCCCCCCTCCCCCCCCCCCATATGCAAGGCTATTCTTCAGCCGAATCCAACCAATCGTTATTGCTTAGATTGTTGCACTCAGAGTAGTGTGGTTCATGTCCGATGACGAGCACTGGGTGGTGCGTGTGTTTCTTGACCTGCTTACTTGCACGATAATGATGTCTGAAGGGATAGTTACCACAGGGTGGCCAAAGAAATCCCACCCACAAGTCAAAAATAGCGCCGCGTTTCAAACTTTCAATTTCAATTACTGGTACATCAGTCATCATGCACGCATCAAAAACAGATCTGAGGGCCGCTTTAGCCTTGGCGCTGCGTTTGGCACGTGGGTCGGATTTCTTTTGGCCGTGACGGTACATGTAATTAGGATTTGCTGCAGCTTTTAGTACCTGCTTGGAAAGCAACCTGGAATTGCACACCCTTAAAGGGTGCACGGGTAAAAGAAATTAATTTTAATAAATAATAATAATAATAAAAGATGTATGTACATCGGCCGGACGAGTGCCTATCCCCTATTTTATTACTTGATATTGAGGCGAACGCTCATCATACTTTACTAAATCTCCACCAAGTATAGTTCTGGCCAGAGAATTCCGAGCTCGTGAATAAAGTAGCGCGGCGTTCAAGTGCGCAGAGTGCTGTGTGTGATGCTAGGGTCGCGTAGGCCCCAGTGCTAATCATATTATATTCATGAGGTCGGATTTCTCTGGCCAGGACTGTACAAGCAATATTGAATACGAAAGGGAATTGGGGGTAGTAAAAAATGCTGTCTTCTTTGTGCAAAATTTCTACTGCAATATGATTGCAGCAAAACATGGCCACAAACACACTGTCTACAACCTGCCGTGTACAGCCATGCCAAACCCCGTAGACTGTAGCCCCTGTGAATTGCAAGCAGGTGAATTCCATTGCCAAAAAGCCCCAAACAATGTACTGCAAGTTGAGTTCAGAAGTCATGGTCAGATTGGGTATTCTATTATTTGTACATGCATGTTGCCATGTACTACGCTGTATACGGGTCATCTCTTTCTGCAACAATCTGCAGGATTTTCTGCATTTGGCAGGCACTGCTGAATTCTGCGGAAATTCTGCAACCCTGCAGCATCGCGAAATTCACGTGCCGGCGTCAGGTTGCATGAGCATGAACTGCAGTGCAGAATCATTTTGGGCCACTGCATTATTCTTGATATACTACTCTTTGGAATCTTTGCCAAAGTTTTCACTCAGGCTTTTGGGCTCGTGCTCTACCTGTAACTCGTGGGACGGTCAATCCAAGCTTAGGCTGCCTGAGTGTCATTTCACTATAGATATGAAGGCAACACGCCACACAGCGGTCGTTATGGGCTCAGTCTGCCACGGCGCTCAGTCTGGCAACTGCACACGCCCTGTTCAAGCAATGAAGAATTCGACAATTTACACGCATGACTCGCGCTTATGGGTACCGTCAAGAGTTCATAACCCCCCGGCCTGGGGGTTATGAACGCTTGGTACCGTGGTATAATCTCAATGCTCTTGTTATTATCAAGAGTCCATAAACAGTTCATGGACTCTTGATACTTGAAATACTACAGTCATGATAACACATTATTTTCGGTGTACCTTTTAAATTTCGGTAATTTCGGTAGAGAAACCAGGCACCTAAATTTAAATTACAGTACACCTAAATGGCAATGGAGTATGAACCGTAAATGCAGGGAACGCCGGTCACCTAATTCTACATTTACCCCTGAAACCTCAGTGGCAGGTTCCTGTCACCGAAATTTTACTACACCTAAAATTACCATGATGTATGGACATTTTGACATGGTCTAATTGGTCTTGTATAATTCCTTCTACTTCAAGTAGACAGAACTTTTTAATTAAAAGGATGAGCACAGCTGAGAATTCAAATTCACAATTGTGGTTGTCCTTGTACATGTCTTTTGACGTGAAAGAGTTTTGAAAAAGCAAGAGCAAAGTAGCTCAGGGACGCGCGTCGCGCGGCCGAGTTTCCATGATGATGACTACAAGCTTTAGGGAACGCCATGGGGGATGCGGCCCAAAGAACGTGGTGCATTTGAAAATGTTATTTCCACAGGCACGTGTGTTGTTTGACTTTTTTGGAAGCTCAACAAGTCAGTGAAGATGACACGGGTGTGACTTTGACTGCTTGCCTTTTCAGGCTTTTGTCCTTGTAAATTTCCTTCAAGCCTTCACCATCAGTACTGTAAGCTCCGCCTACGAGGCCTACAGTAGCAGGTTATTCCCTGTTTTGTTTGAAATGCACTCGTGCAGGGAAACCCATATCCAGCAGGAATGCAAACGAACTGTACTAGAGTATTGAAGGACATCGTTCTGTCTCGGTGCAGTACTACAGAGAAGTGTTTCAGCGTGTGTTATCCAGCCGGCCAAGTCATTTTGGCCTCTTCGGAATCTAGGAATTTGTATGCCTTCAAGGACGACGAACAATTGGTGAGTATTTAGTATTTCCCCAATATCCCCTGATAATTATTCGTTTACTTTTGGGGAACCCTTCAAATAAAAAATGAATGAATGAATTAATCATGGTAAAAAAGGAGAAGGACAAAATGTTACGAGTTATGACTAACTGTCCACTAACTTCCACCGGCTTGCCGCATGTCTAGTTCACCAGCTGAATTTCGCTCATCCATCAACTCATACCTAGGGTTCCCTGTAAAAAGGCGCTGATGCCTGTTGGGAATTCCCTAGTAAAAGAAGAATAAATAATATTAGAACGAGGTCTGTCTCGTTGTCCAGGAAACGACCAATCAGCGACATTCCCGCCAAGGGCCTTATCAGAGTTTAAAGCCCGCTCAATCGTTATTTTACTACTCTTGATGACGCGTCGAGGGCCTTGGATTAGTTTAAAGCCCGCTGAATATACTCTAAACTGGTGCGTACAACTCCCTGTATGCATTATAGTACGGTGCAGATAATGAACTCTGCATAACGTGTACGGTGTACTACTAAAAGCTACGCAATTCAGAAGTGTGTACGGTTTTTGCCTCCCGTATTCTTTCATCAGTACGAATTTTCTTTGTCAACAGCTTGCGGAAACCTGTATAAAAACCGAAGATCAAAGTCATTAGACTTATCGACAAGGGGCTCTCAAAGCCCCTAAATAGCTCCACAAGCTACATGTATGAATAAGAATGAAGCTCGCAATAAGAGCCCAGCATTTCATTTGCTTCCATTCTACTTTTAGTAGTCCTAAGTGGTGCTGAGTTACCATAACTTACCAGAAGAAAATATTCTTTCATACTACACCAAGTCTCTCCGCACACAAACCACAAAACTACCCAATATAGTGGTACACAAGCATAATGGAAGTGAGATAATGCATGTAACCTCGTTCTAAAATAGTTAGTGCATGGCAGGGAGGGTCTTATGGCTTGTTTGTGCCCTTCAGGGTAGCCCTCGGGCCGTAACCTGTCGGGCACTAACAAGCCATAAGGCCCTCCCTGCCATGCACTAACCTGTAAATAATAAAATAACGTAACCAGGTCAGCTTCGCTTCTTACTGGTGACTGTATTCCTACCCGCTGCACTGCTTTCCAAACTCAACACCTGGACTGCCACTCGAGAGGCTATTGCTGGCAGCTAGTGACGTGGAGGTGGCGATTTACTCCTCTTCCATCATGACTGTTTCGTTGATGTCATCTTTGCTCCTTTCCCCACCGCTTCCAGCGTCTTCTTTGCAAAAGGAACAGCTTGTCGAGCCTGGGGGCATGCTTTCAGCATCAGCGCTCCCGCCCGCAGTTATTAAGCACCTGGTGTAATGACCAATCAGCTCGAAATCGAACGATGAAGGGGCATCATCACCCACCTTACCAATCCACTTAGTGATCACCAACCGGAAACTGCGGACGAGCATGAAGGCAAAGCAAAGCGCAGCAAGCATTCGGACTCGCGACAAGCGCACACGCGCACGTGCTAAACTCATCCTGGAATGCCCTCGCTCCATTTCTCCATGTTCTCATCAGCCGGAAGATGTTCTTCCCAATCAACCATTTGCCTTTAGCAGGTGGTTTCCAAGATATTGTGAGACCAGAGAAAGCAGGGCTAACATACGGGGAGAGAAGTATGTGCCAAAGCAGTGCTACTGTCTGCAGGAGCAAGCTCTGTTTGAGTGTTTGGCCAATCAGAAACAAGACTTGCACACGGTGTGCAAGTGATGTTTGTCACACCTGCAAGCAGCAGTAGTGGTGTTGAATATCCGTCTGGTGTCATGCTGCCATTGGTGTCTGTGTGAACCAGTAAGATGTCACTCACCATCTCGGCCTGTCACATTCCGATCCAGCAGTGTGTGTGTATTATTTTTAGTGCCACACTGGGTAAGAAAATACCAATACTACGTTGTTGCTTTTCATCGCCATGGTGCTGAATTTCTCTCCTTTGGTTTACACCAGGGAGTACTAAAAAGCTTGTTAGTACTCCCTGGTTTACACCTATACATGTATCTTCACAAAGACTACATGCATGTGTATGTGTACTGTCACCAAAGTACAGTCCATTGTTAGAGTTCTCCCCCAAGTGCGACAATATTGTACCAAACTCCCTCTGCATGTCACGCATCGCCCGCCTGTCTGATGCGTCAGGTCTAGTATTCTCCAAGTACTTATTGTAGTGTGTTGCTTACTCTGTGCCTGGTCCGTGTTTCTGAAACCCTCTCAGAGATGATGAGGTTTACTACTGACACGCATGTTGACTTTTGCAATAGAGTCTCATTCTTTCTGAGCAGTCTGTCAAGAGTCGAGACCTCTTTTGATGTTCTCAGTGCTGGCGTTATTGTCAAGCCCTCTTTTGATGTTCTCGGTGCTGATGTTCTTGTCAAGACCTCTTTTGATGTTCTGAGTGCTGGCGTTCTTGTGGTTTGTTGCACTACAGATTGTATGGTTGCCTCTTCGATGTAGTGATGTAGTGTGTCTGTGTCTCTTCGATGTACTGATGTAGTGTGTCTGTGTCTCTTCGATGTACTGATGTAGTGTGTCTGTGTCTCTTCGATGTACTGATGTAGTGTGTCTGTGTCTCTTCGATGTACTGATGTAGTGTGTCTGTGTCTCTTCGATGTACTGATGTAGTGTGTCTGTGTCTCTTCGATGTACTGATGTAGTGTGTCTGTGTCTCTTCGATGTACTGATGTAGTGTGTCTGTGTCTCTTCGATGTACTGATGTAGTGTGTCTGTGTCTCTTCGATGTACTGATGTAGTGTGTCTGTGTCTCTTCGATGTACTGATGTCGTGTGTCTGTGTCTCTTCGATGTACTGATGTAGTGTGTCTGTGTCTCTTCGATGTACTGATGTCGTGTGTCTGTGTCTCTTCGATGTACTGATGTAGTGTGTCTGTGTCTCTTCGATGTACTGATGTAGTGTGTCTGTGTCTCTTCGATGTACTGATGTAGTGTGTCTGTGTCTCTTCGATGTACTGATGTAGTGTGTCTGTGTCTCTTCGATGTACTGATGTAGTGTGTCTGTGTCTCTTCGATGTACTGATGTCGTGTGTCTGTGTCTCTTCGATGTACTGATGTCGTGTGTCTGTGTCTCTTCGATGTACTGATGTAGTGTGTCTGTGTCTCTTCGATGTACTGATGTAGTGTGTCTGTGTCTCTTCGATGTACTGATGTAGTGTGTCTGTGTCTCTTCGATGTACTGATGTAGTGTGTCTGTGTCTCTTCGATGTACTGATGTAGTGTGTCTGTGTCTCTTCGATGTACTGATGTAGTGTGTCTGTGTCTCTTCGATGTACTGATGTAGTGTGTCTGTGTCTCTTCGATGTACTGATGTCGTGTGTCTGTGTCTCTTCGATGTACTGATGTCGTGTGTCTGTGTCTCTTCGATGTACTGATGTAGTGTGTCTGTGTCTCTTCGATGTACTGATGTCGTGTGTCTGTGTCTCTTCGATGTACTGATGTAGTGTGTCTGTGTCTCTTCGATGTAGTGTGTCTGTGTCTCTTCTATATACTGATGTAGTGTGTCTGTGTCTCTTCGATGTACTGATGTAGTGTGTCTGTGTCATTCCCTATACCGATGTACTGATGTAGTGTGTCTGTGTCATTCCCTATACCGATGTACTGATGTAGTGTGTCTGTGTCTCTTCGATGTACTGATGTCGTGTGTCTGTGTCTCTTCTATGTACTGATGTAGTGTGTCTGTGTCTCTTCGATGTACTGATGTAGTGTGTCTGTGTCTCTTCGATGTACTGATGTAGTGTGTCTGTGTCTCTTCGATGTACTGATGTAGTGTGTCTGTGTCATTCCCTATACCGATGTACTGATGTAGTGTGTCTGTGTCTCTTCGATGTACTGATGTCGTGTGTCTGTGTCTCTTCTATGTACTGATGTAGTGTGTCTGTGTCTCTTCGATGTACTGATGTAGTGTGTCTGTGTCTCTTCGATGTACTGATGTAGTGTGTCTGTGTCTCTTCGATGTACTGATGTAGTGTGTCTGTGTCTCTTCGATGTACTGATGTCGTGTGTCTGTGTCTCTTCTATGTACTGATGTAGTGTGTCTGTGTCTCTTCGATGTACTGATGTAGTGTGTCTGTGTTATTCCCTATACCTGCAGTGTGTAGCACAACTACCGGCATGCGTCACATCGTTATCGTTGGTGCGTGTTTCCTGCCAGGTCTCTGGCACCAATGAAGAGTGCCCGTTCGTCGTGTGCAGCACGTCATGCGGCGGAATCTGGCTCATACCGCTGACAGAGCTGCTAGACCGGCCCGTCACTGCATCATCATCATCATGTCAGCCTGGTGGTCGGAAACGTTCACGGTACGTAACTTGCTGGGTCATTGATACTGTGTGCAAGTGTAGCCTGTCACTCTGGTAGCAATACTTTACTTTCCCGTATGTTGCAGTCCTGTTGGCCTTGATCTACACCCACTCATGTACTCTACAACTGATGACCATCAGAAAAACACCAGTCGGGCTACTACATACGTACAGTAGTAACCGTTTGAGTCGTGTTCATAGGGACTGTGCATACCGGTGTTATACTTATAGTATTCATACATGTAGCTGCAAAAGTACATAACTCCCAAGAGTGTGCAACTGCCTGCACAGCCTCTGTGCAGTGCTGCGGCGGCAGAACTTCACATCACGTGACACAGTACCCAGGGTTACGCTGGTAAACAGTGCAAAGTGACCACAAGCGAGTTGAATCCGAAGCAGGGCTGCGTACAACCCTGCATCTATCATGCATAGGGTGCAAATAATGTGTACGGGTTCGGCACGTGATATGAAGTTCTGCCGTCGGCCTGTCGCAGACCCCATAGCTGGAGTTGTACACTCTTGGGGGTTATGTACTCTTGCTAGCTGTAATAAAGCCTTTTCAGGACAATATCAGCATAAAAGTCCCACATCTTTTGCGTATGCATAATGACCATGGTTCATCTCTAGTGGATAAAAGCTATGGGCGAAAGTGTGAAGTGGAAGTAAGTGAAGAGAAGCCGATAACATAGAGTTGCAGCCAATTGCATCTGAAGTCTGAATGCAAGCTTGTAGGACCTGCGGAATGTAGCAAAAGAGATTCAAACGCTTAGAATCAGAAATACCCGTTCCTTCTGCCATGTATTCGAAGCTTCGAAACCATTTCCTCCGTTGGCCAACCGCCGCAGGAGTACCAGACGAGTCGAAAGTAGGGAGGCAATTGGACTGTCCCTTGTGGAGACTGAAACTAGACATCTTCGTCGCCAAATGTTGTAGCTTACTTCATGCTTGTGGCACACAACAAGCAACACGAGGAGTATTTAGTTGGAAGTTATCTTGACGAAGGTTAGAATAAGAATGAGCTGAGCATGCCAAGGGCAACAAGGTAAGGGCGAGCAGCCATGATTGGAAATACCGTAGACATACGCGAAGCAGGCTATACGATTATACGAAGCAGGCAGCGAGGCCAGTATGCAGCTACGGTGCAATAACGAAGTGATTGCAGTCTAAAACACTCGTGATTTCAGGTTCACAGTAGCTTGCCGCAGACATTGGTGTGTCACACCACCAACAGTTACACCGTCTTCCACTGACACAGAACTTAACAACATCACCTGACATGTCGTGGACCTGTCCCATCACCTTCCACTTACTCCATCACCTTCCACTTACTCCATCACCTTCCACTTACTCCATCACCTTCCACTTACTCCATCACCTTCCACTTACTCCATCACCTTCCACTTACTCCATCACCTTCCACTTACTCCATCACCTTCCACTTACTCCATCACCTTCCACTTACTCCATCACCTTCCACTTACTCCATCACCTTCCACTTACTCCATCACCTTCCACTTACTCCATCACCTTCCACTTACTCCATCACCTTCCACTTACTCCATCACCTTCCACTTACTCCATCACCTTCCACTTACTCCATCACCTTCCACTTACTCCATCACCTTCCACTTACTCCATCACCTTGTCTTGCTGTACGTGTAGGTGGCGATGGCTATGCTCGCGTGCACCTTCCACTCAAGACGGCTATGCTCGTGTGCACCTTCCACTCAAGACGGCTATGCTCGCGTGCACCTTCCACTCAAGACGGCTATGCTCGCGTGCACCTTCCACTCAAGACGGCTATGCTCGCGTGCACCTTCCACTCAAGACGGCTATGCTCGCGTGCACCTTCCACTCAAGACGGCTATGCTCGCGTGCACCTTCCACTCAAGACGGCTATGCTCGCGTGCACCTTCCACTCAAGACGGCTATGCTCGCGTGCACCTTCCACTCAAGACGGCTATGCTCGCGTGCACCTTCCACTCAAGACGGCTATGCTCGCGTGCACCTTCCACTCAAGACGGCTATGCTCGCGTGCACCTTCCACTCAAGACGGCTATGCTCGCGTGCACCTTCCACTCAAGACGGCTATGCTCGCGTGCACCTTCCACTCAAGACGGCTATGCTCGCGTGCACCTTCCACTCAAGACGCAACATTTAGGCTGTGGAAGAGCTATAATGTCTAGACATTGGTGAAGGGCCTTCAGTTCATCCCCACCAAGTCAACGGCTAACATTGTCTAGCATACGCGAGAAGCATTCAACATCAAACACTGCAGGATAGAGGGTCTTGATGGTGTGAATGGCAATCATTTACAGACGTTCGGCCATGCATGGTGACCACTGGTTGAACTTGGTATGTAACAGCAAGAGTGTGCAAGAGACCGTGTGATACTTGCTCTCCACTCATGGCCTCCGCAGCTAGCTACAGTGACAGGAGACGTTGTCGGACAATTGGGTCAGCATCCACACAGCTGGCAATGAGCACCCTAGCTTCGCGTACCACAGTTGTGCCATCAAAGGTGATTGACAGCTACCTACATTTCCTGTCTGTGAGAAAAGACTTGGCATGCTCTACTTCACGGTCTCTCGCAATAGGAATAGGGTTCCTACGGTGCTTGGTGCTTGTCAGGCGTTGACCACGCTGCTCCAACAGCGGCCAGAAATGATCGATTTTCTGCTAGGGTACTCCACCACTCATGAATGTTCTCACACATAGGATACGATCCGCCAGTTTGATTTCAAGTGTCCTTTCAATACGCTCTTTACGACTGACGCGTCGCTATGGCAGGCTTCATAAAATAGCTGCCCTGTTTTGATTGTGACTGTGTCAGTCGGGAATTGCCTCACTCATACTTATGTGATGAAAGAGGTTTTGGACCTTTCGGTGCTCGCTTTGAGACTGGAGCTGTGTATATCCTTTCTTCGTGCTGTTTACAAACAATTCTTGTCGTTTCCTTCTGAGATCGTTTGCAGATGGAGGGCGTAGGCAACTTAGCAAAGGCACATGGTTATCTGGAGAAGCCTCGTCGACGTCATCATTCTCAGAGGACTCCCAACTACTTACGCATAAAAAGCGCATGTGCCTATATCTAGGTAAAAGCGCATCCTCACATATAAGGGCATTGGCTTATAAGTGAACCCAATCCCGCGATACACTGACACCACAAAAATGCCATGTTTACTGGGTTGCGATCTCCACATTCCATACTGGTAACACAATTACTAGCTCATGTGCCTATGTGTGAGGACAATCGACCTGAACTTCAAATTTCAAACCTGGTTGGCACGGCCATGGGTGCAGACGAGTATTTTTTTGCATTTTGGGGTGATTTCAGAAGACCCTAAAAATCCCTCAATTATCGCAGAAGCATTTTGGGTTCAAAAATCGCATTAAAGTACGACTATTCCTTCTCTCCTCTGCACGAGAGCAATAAAGGTCTGGCGTCTGATGGCAGGCGTCGATAAACTTTGTGCCCTGCCAGCAAAGTGGACGAAATTTGCAAATCGTTCAATTTAGTCTCGTTACACTTTCAACTCCCGACGGCATCTCTATTTGACAACTTGACATCATTTTTATAATGCAACGCTTGTACAAGTGGTACCACACGCATCCTGGACCTGTTGTGGACACATCTCTATAATTATGAATTTATGATCCTGTGCAAAGTAGTCCAAGGAAGCCTGTGTGCATTGACAGTTGACACGCAGTACACACGGCGTAAATCACTAGTGCGAGGAGCATTGCATCGTGAAACTGACGTCAACTTGAGATTCTGCTGGGACAGCACTGTATGCAGGAGCGGCACACTCTTGGTGGTTGTGTACTCTTGGTACTAAGCTGCTATACTGCTCTGGTCTATTGCCAGGGACTGTGATGTGCAGTGAACACAGGGTTGATTACTTTCTTTCTCTTTGTGGACATGTGGATGTGTTTTGTTGATGTTAGTCTTTCGCCAGCCATCGAACCTGTCCAGAAGAGGACCAAAGCTGATGCCAGTCAACACGAGCTGTTGCCCACGCATGTCGACCAAGGAGTTGAGAATGTGCCGGCAGATCAACGCAGCCAATCTGCTGGCCGTGCTCTGTTGCAAGTTGACAATGAGTCAGTTTTCTCCAGCCTACTCAAGCAGGGCACTGGCAGTGGAAAGCATGGCAAAGCGGCCACTGCCACCACCACCGCCTGCACCACCGGTAGCAGTGGCGGCAACTCTGTGACGACGGCATTGCCAAACTTCTGGGATGCGACCAGTCGAGTGTGTGACGTTTCATTGCGCTATCGGTCAGCCATTGTGCCAGATTCTTGCGTGGTGTCTGCGACACCTACAGCACTGATGATCGCGTCGCATCCTCCCGACTGCACCAGTATACTTGAAGTATACCCAGTCCAGTGTTGCTCTGACGGGCAAGTTTCCATAGGACGTGCTACGAGGGTATCAGCTGCATTTCCATTGAATGTGAATCGCATTATTCCTATAGTGTTGACTCGGTCACCACTTTGCTGTGGCTGGCCTGTATCACAAGACATGTTGGACTATCTGGTGGATGATGGAAGCCAGGGGTCTGCTGACAATGATGCACTTCTCGTTGTCACGGACGATGGAGGTGTTCACCGTGTATTGCCGGGTCAATGCAGTGCTACTGGTAATATGACTAGCTCTCCGCTGCACAACAGTTTACTCCTGCAGTGCGTTGCACCCGTAATTGACATCTTTCCCGTATGCATTACCAGTAGCAATAAGGATAGGTCAGCCAACGGCTTGGTGGCTGTTTCCAAGTCGGGGCAAGTCAGTCTGTGGTGTGTCGCGCGCGTTGGCTTGGTCTTGCGCCAATTTGAGTTCCAGGACCACGTGCCAGCGCCCGTTTGTTGCTGCTGCATCTTGCAGAGTCCATCTGGAAATGGCACGGAGCTACAAGATGTGCTCGTGTGTGCGGGACCGTCTGCTGTGACGTTTGCACGCCTGCCGTCGATAGAGCAGCTTGTCAAGTCTTCTCCCAGCACGGTGCTGAAGAAGTGTCTACTTGCCACTGCTGACGTGTGCCACACCTGGTCATTGAGGACAAATGCATGCTTGTGCCGTACGCGTAGTGGCTCTGTCATTGAGCTCACCTGTCCAACACTAGGAGCAACCAGCACTGGATCACTCAGCGGAGGCAGCCTTCGCACGTCTGACACAATGAAAGACGTGCTAGCAAAGCTGCGCGCCATCTCTGATCGGATTGTAGCTCTGCAGGAAGATGAGAGTACAGTGGACCGATTACTGGCTGCTGTGAACCACGCATTGCACAATCTCAAATCACTGCAGAGCACGGGTTTTGGCGAACAGAATTCCCGTGGCAAGCACCGGGCACTTAGTGTCAGTGCGAGTGCAGTACTTGGCGTGGAGAGCAATGGTCTTCGGGCGAGTCATGTTGAATGCAGTGTTGAGAATTGCACAAGTCACATGCTGCCATGCGCGTACAGTGTACATGCCAGCGTGACCTATTCATCAGCTGGCTGCCAGCAAGTGCTGCCTTCCTGGTCTGTAGCTGTTCCTCTAGCCGATCTTGCTGCCCAAGCTGTTCGCTGGTTTCAAGTTCCACTGCTGTCGCAACACCTCTCCTGCTGTACTGTATCAGTGAGCTTCTATTTGGTTGTGGATATCAGCCAGCTACTGGCTAGTGCCATGTCAACCAACTCACCTACATCTGCAGCAATCGGTACTGAGTCTGATTGTGTTGTCACACTGATACACACCGAGCAGTTGAACATATTGTCGTTCTGCAAAGCTTCTTCGCCTGACGACATCCCTGCGCCCAAGGAGCCGCAGCAGAGTATTCTGCTGCCCGTGCAGATGATGAGCGACATTGCTAGGCACAGCCGCCACTCCACACATGCAGCGGGCCAGCGACAAGCAAGCAACCAAGAAGCAAGCCACCTTCACCTGCACTCTATATCTCTCCACCAGCCTCTGTCCAGTGCACAAGTCACCAGTACTCTAAGTACCTTGCTGGGTATGGAGTTTCAACCATCACAGCGCTATCTGCTTACAGCTCCCACTGGCTGTAAGTTCTGGTTGGAGCACTCGCAAGTAGCAATGGACATGCCTGACCGCCCAGTGGGCTCCGACGACAGTGACAGTGCTGAACAGTGCTCACTGTGCAGTGAGAAGATCAGCAATGCTGCTCCTCTCAACATGGTATGCATCTCCATCTCAGCCCACGACCGCAGTCTGTTATGCACGCTGCGCATGGCTCTCTCACAACATTTCAAGGTGAGTCTGATATGCTCCTCTTATCAGCCTCTGCCAGGCAGGCAGTAGCCTGTGTCGCTAATGTAGTGTTGCAACTATTTCTGCAGACATACTGCAAGCTGCACTTACAGTCTAGTATTTTCTTTTCTTTACCGGGATTTTTAGGGCTGTGCAGACCCAGCTAGACTGGGTATTCTAGCCAGAACGGGTTTCTATGAAAGGAACAGCTCCCACTCCTAAGTGGTTACGCTAGTGGGAATGGGAACTACCCCGATCCTAAGTGCTTTCCCCTCCTTGTGTTTGCTAGACAATGTACTCGTATACTTGTCATACACAGTTATATACACAGTTATATACACAGTTATAGCAAGCGTACATCCGTACAACTCCGCGTGCGATTTCAGGAAGGTGTATTTTGTTGCTTCTTTATGGATAAAAAGGAGAAGGACGAAATGTTACGAGTTATGACTAACTGTCCACCAACACAATCAGATCATATACAGTCAGCGAATGCGATGGGATGGCACAAAACTGACAGGGAGTACTGAGCCATTCAACGACCTGAAACCAAGCTCCAACACTTCTACGAGGTGCAAACCAACAACCTTCTAACTAGAGCCTTCCAAGGTTGTTGTTTTGCATCTCGTAGAAGTGTTGGAGCTAGGTGTCAGGTCGTTGAATGGCTCAGTACTCCCTGTCAGTTTTGTCGCATTCGCTGACTGTATAATTATGATCTAGTTGAGCTGGTGGACAGTTAGTCATAACTCGTACCATTTTGTGAATTTTTGTCATTCTCCTTTCTATCCATGATAATATTGGCTCACCATTCGCGTGCAACAATAGTAATACTTATGTCATTCTTGCCGCCAGGGTACAGTAAATACTAATGTCAAAGGTCGTACTGTACTTGGAGTCACAGATCGCGGCATCCGAGACTCGTCGAAAATGATGTAAACATCAATTATTATGGTTAGCCAGAATCATAGTGAATTGCCCACTCTGGTTTATGCACTCAGTTTGCTGTACATGCAGCAGCAGTACACCACAGCTCTATCCTGGGTATCCTCTTTGGGTGTCAGTTAAGCTGTGTTCACAACTGGCGCGTGGACGCGGTACGCTTGCGGTTCATGCGTGCCCAACCGCGCGCTCAGCCTTTCACAAAAAACAGCAATCAGTCGTATTTTGCGCGTGCGACACCTTCGAGTACCGGTACTAATTTTTTGACCCCGCCAGTGAAACTGATTGGCATGTACGCTGGTACGTGCTGAAACTTCCAACATGTTGGAATTTCCATTTCGGCGCGTTTCCGTACGCATGGCGCCCCAAAAGCCAGCAAAAATACGCACAAACGCGTGGTTTCACGCGTACACGCGCCAGTTGTGAACACAGCTTTAGGGAGCATTACCCCCACTACGACATAGGTGTCGGCAGTGTTTGTGAGAGTGGTTTCCCCAGGTTCGGGGCAAAGTACTAGTAGTCTAACTAACTGCTATGCTTTTCTCCTTTTTTTCCTTTTTCATCTCTGGATGTGTAGATGGTTCTTGACGGGGAGGCAAAGTCCTACTGCACAGCTGCAACGGCTGCTCCAGCTAGTGATCTGAGCAGACGAATGAAGGTGTGTGTGTGGGCTACTGACACAGACAATGGCACCTCGAATTTGCCCCCCCCCCCCCCCCCCTCTCCCTGGTTTAGGTCACGGCCACTCCAATGCGATGCAGTCGTTTTGAAAGTGCCGAGTTACAGTAGAGTCGCGCGCTGAAGAACGTGGAGCCCAAGAACGTCCAGCCTGAAATTCTAAGAACGCCACAGCCTAAAGATAAGAACGGAGGTGTTGGTTTTCTGGCAGCTTGTTGGATACATATGATCCAGTACGGATTGTTTCTAAGAACGTGCCATAAGAACACAGCCAGATTGCTGAAAAATAAGAACGTCCCAGGCTAACCCCTTGGAAACAACGTTCTTGGACGCGCGACTCTACTGTACTTGTACTGCATGGTTTTAGTCGTTTGCGGAATCTGCAAGTTCCATACATAACTCTGTCCTAACTGGTGGCATGATGCTTACAGTTCCTCATTTGAATTTCACTTACCATCACTGTGCATGTGGAGTATGATTGATTAGGAAGTTGATGAGTAAATTTCTTTGTCTATGTGTGATATCAAGAGTAGATAAACAAGAGTGTGCAACTGCCTGCACAACCTCTATGCTGTGCTGCGACGGCAGAACTTCACATCACGTGACATGGTTCAAAAGGTTATGCTGGCAAACAGTGCAAAGTGACCACAAGAGAGTTGTACCCAAAGCTGGGCTGCGTACAACCCAGTATCTATCATGCACTAGAGTGCACGGGTTCATCACGTGATGTGAAGTTCTGCCGTCGCAGACCCCATAGCTGGAGTTGCACACTCTTGTTTATCTACTCTTGGTGATATCAAGAGTACATAACCCCCCAGAGTGTGCAACGCCTGATTCAGCTCTGCATAGGGTCTTGGTCGAGCGGAATCGGATCTTAGCATCATAATACCGTACACATCTGAGGGGAACCCGGGGAGTCGCGGGTACTCTTGGATCAAAAACAATGGTGCCCTGCCTCGAGACCGGCCTTGCGCTGGTGTGTAGTGTACACATGACATCAGAAGATCCGATTCCGCTCGACCAATACCCTATGCAGAGCTGGAACGGCGTTGCACACTCTGGGGGGTTATGTACTCTTGGTGATATGTGTGTGTGTGTGTGCGCGCGCGCGTGTGTGTGTGTGTGCGCATGTGTACATGCACGCATGTATGTGCTTGTTGGCAGCCGCTCACTCCAAGGTTACTGGAACTCCGTGATCGGTTCACCAACCTTCAGGGACTCATCCTTGACACTGCACGCAGCAAGCAGCAACCCCTGAGTATTGACCGCCTGAGTAGCACAGTATGCGAGGATCTAAGCAGATTGCGCGAGGACATGTGGCATGTGTATACTGAGCTAGTGAATCTGCCCATTATCCCCTGCAAGGCACGACTTGAAGAGCTGCAAGCCAAGGACATGCACTCCTGATAGGACAACCCTGTGGCTTGTTTAGCAATGGAGAACATGCCAGCCCCGAAGGGCCCTGCATCAAAGTGATGGTGATTAATGGACCGCAAAGTTGTGCTACTTGGCCACACGGCTGAATACAGTAGCGCCTTGTTCGAGTGCACAGAACAGTGGGTGTAGTGCTAGGGATGCGTAATGTTTTTTTTAAATTTTTTTATGAGGTTGCATTTCTCTGGCCAGTACTGTAGTATATCCAACTTGACTTGATTTGACCTTATCTACAGTCTACCTTATCCACATTATTACTAAAGAACTGCATAGGTGAGGGAATTGGACAGGTGTACTTTTTCCCACAGTTATACACCACTACCCAAAAACTGTCTCTCGGCTACAAATTTGATTGGTCAATCCACGGATAAGATCCGTTGCAGCAGTTAGAACAGCTGTTATAGCCAGGGATTTTTACTACACCCTGATTCTCACCTGCTCAAGCATGGCCGGGGCAAGAGGACCAGATAAGTGGGATCTTACTACGTGTGGACTAATCTCCGCTTTGAACGGGTACCAGCCGGCTAGATCCAGATGATCTCCTCCCGCTACTCCCTCTCTCCCACACACGGGCGCACCCACCTTTGGATGCTGCTCCGTGCGATGATAGCACGGGCACACACACACACATGCTCTCACGCGCACACACACGTACGTGCAGTCTCAAAAGTCGGGTTGCATAAGGATCAAGATGTCAAGCTTAAACCCGGAGCAGCATTGGCACGGGTGAAAGACAGCGGCAGCGTCGTCAAGAGAGTAATGGCCCACGGAGGTGGAAGTCGGCATGAGAGGAGATCATCAGCGGTTCAGAAACGGTATAAGAATTGTGCTGGGCCACAGAGACATATCGTAGTAGTAGTAGTGGTAGTGTGGTTTACTTGAGGATGACTTCATCAACATTGACCAGATATTCAACAATTTCCTCGTCAAATTCACCATCTTCCTGGTCCATGCCACCTAAACATAGCACAACAGTCAACAGGAAACGGCTCACAACTACTTCACGGCTAACACTTGAGTGAGAAGTTGGCAGTGTTCCATGACAAAGTTCCAGTACCATCTATGGAAGGTAAGGTGGGTTGGGGTGCTTGGATTATTTTCAACTACAATATTTCCTCCACTGAAGGGTGGATTCAAGTACTTTCAACTACAAGTAGTTACCATATCTCCATAGGAGGGTGGACGCGAATATACACATGGATGCCGTAAAGTCTTGTATAAAAGCCGCCCTCGAATAGAAGCCGAATTTTGGGCCCATCGAATCACACATAAGCCTGGTTTTCGTGTTGACATACATAGAAATACCTGTCTTGTATAAGAAGCCTGTCTCATATAGAAGCCTGAATATTTTCACCAAGAAAGTCATAGAAGCCGCGGCTTTTATACAAGACTTTACGGTATACACATTCATGTCTGCAGTGCATGCTTCAAATCTGCACACCATCGTCCTTCTATACCCGCATTGGCTAAAAGAATGCATCACGTTTACTATCCGCACAATCACAAGGTGGATCAGCAGATTGCCGTCCTATTGGTGGGCAACTCTGTCCTGTGGACCGGTGTAGACAGTTGTACAGATGGATTTAAAGGTACCAATGCTATGGCTCTCTGCAGTGAGCTCTAGTGGCAATCCAGCAGTGTAATTATTCCAGCACAGTCGTCTAATCACCCACATGACCGCATGCACGCGAGCATGTGATGCAGACACATGAACACATGCTAGGAAGCATGGACTGAACAGCCATGCAAACTAACCTCTGAGCTCCTTGCGTTGGGCTTCGGTAATCTCAGACTCCACGCGGCGGCGGTACTCTGTGAAGTCGGACATCAAGCGGCGGCGACGCTCAACCAAAGCCTACGCACAGGGTAGAATACACAGAGGACAATGGCAGCAACAGCAGCAAAATCATTCAGCTATAGCTCTACAAAGGACTTGAATAGCACCGGTGCAAATAAAAATGAAAAAAAAAACAGAAAGCCACAGCAAATCAGTAATATAGAAATGAACACACACCTTTGAGGCCTTGGAGTGAGTCATTCTGTCCTTGACTTCGAAGATCTTGCTGTATTCCTTGCGGTCACGCTTGATGCGCTATTTAAAAAAAAAACACAAGAAGAAGCATTTAGTAGAGAACAGTGCGGGTTGAAAGAGTGAAAATGGCTCGCCAGCACACTCATCACTTTGAGCACAATGTCATGTGCACAACTGTATAATGTGAGTACATGCTTGAAGCACAGAATATAGCACGGAGTTCTTTCTGAGAACGCTTCCTGTACAACTTCAGTATAGGACAGGACTGGCCAGAGCAACGTGGGGCGTAGTGGCGGAGGACTGGCCGGAGCAACGTGGAGCTTGGCAGTGGCCTGACTAGAGCAATGTAGAGTGTAAACATAGAATAGTGCCGGTATGCAACTAACAACTGCACACGCTACAGTTACTTTAATAGGAGCATCCAAAACTCACCTTGACTTCTTCGTCTGCAAGGAGAGTCTTTGGTCGAGGGCGCCACAGAAGCTGGCAAAACCGGTCAACACTGTGTCGCTGAAGAAGACGGCCTTGCTGAGACCACACGATGTATCCAGTATCGACCTGAATACACAGACAGACATACAAAATATTGTTTAAATGCTCTTTCCATCGGACGCACTTTCAGGACAGTGTGTAATGTGCATGCAACATACACCATCGGTTTCAACTAGGATTGTACAGTGTGTTGGTGAGGACGGAAGGGGATTGGAAGATACATAGGAGATACTTGTTGTATACTAGTACTCGTACCTTCTGCATCCACCAGCTGACTTGGCTGACTACGTATCTACCAGTGGGGTCCCACTCGACGTCGGTAGCCATCAAGTGCTCGGTGACGTTCATCAATGTCATGTCTGATGTGTCATAGAACTCAAAGACACCATTCGACCTGGACAACAGCAGCAGCATCAAATCAGAAACACTCCTTTTATTTCACATTTCCCCTGGGGAACTCAAACATAATACATGTACTGTGAAGTACACCAATTCCATTCAATGCAATGCAAACTTATTGCTGAATGCCCATGTACAGCATGTGCAGAGCAGAAGCAATCCTCTGGAGCCACGCATACTACAGTCGTCCCTCTCTAATCCGGCACTTTATAATCCAGCACCCTCGATAAACCAGCACAATTTTCAGTAGCCAAAATGTCCTCTTCATGCACATTGCAGCAGTAAATCAGATTTGTTAATCCAGCACCCTCCCTAATCCAGCAGATTTTCGTGGCACAAATGGTGCCGGATTATAGAGGGACCACTGTAGTAGTATGTGTTCTACTGTCTCAGCAAACAAGAGCAGGTCATCTTGCCCGGTCACGTAACAGTAGATGATGCACTTGGCACAACTAACAAAGAAGCTAGTGAGTCTGCTTGGTGCTCTTACTGCTTCAGTCCAGCCAGCACGACAAACTGTCCTTGAGGCGACCAGAAGATGTGCGATACAGGCTTCTTCTCCAGGGTCTTGATGTGCTTCAGCTGAACAGTCAAGCAGCACACAAGCATAACAATGTCATGTGTATGTCACCAGCAGTCTTTCATTGATCCAACCACATGTACAGTCAACTGCTCACAGCAGAGCCAGCATAGATAAAGAATGCAAGAACAGCAGCCAGAGGAGGCTAGCAGAGATGCCCCCTAATGATAAACAAAGAAGAAGAGAGAGAAATGCTACAACAGCACTCCAACAGTTCAGCAGGTTTAGAATCCGCACATCGCTAGCACAGCTCAATAGAGAGGTTCTGCAAAACGAAAATGTGTACGAACTTTCGCTCTACGTCACGAAGTGAGAAACTTCGCACGAACTTTCGCAACTTTGGACGCGAAACTTGCAGGGAACGCGAAATGAACTTTCGTAGGAAGTTTCGTGAGATTGGGTCATGTCGTACGTGCACTTGGCGCGTGCAAACTACGAAAATGTGCAGAACACAAAGTTCGTGCGAAAATTCGTACACACTTTCGCAAGGCCTGTCGCGAAACTTCGTTCGAACTTTCGTTGTGCAGAACCTCTCAAATGTAAACTGGACAGTGGTAACAATAACAAGTGCGGCATTAGCGCTGAAACAGTCCAGTACGGTGACTTTACATTCGCACACATGTGTAGGTAGTCACACATCAACAGCACATATGCGTACATGACTCAACACACATCACCAGCATATACGGTGCTACAGCTATGGCAATGCATGAGTAGCGCGACAGAGGTATTTAGAAAACTACACGTGCAGAGGACGACGTGTCGGCAGCCATATAGTGAGTATGCACAATGCGCCGCCTGTGACAACATGTCAATGCGCCGCCTGTGACAACATGTACACATGTACAGCTGGGCCTTAGCGTGTCATACACGGTGTGTCTCTTTGCACACAGGTTGAAATACAGTCTATGGTGCGTGCATGTAACGGATTCAGAAGTGAGAGAATGCCTTACTTTGTCAGCGGCCATCTCGTAGAAACTGACGCTAACACCATGTGCTGCTTGTGGCTCGTGAATGATGGCAAACTTGGTGCCATGCGGCTCCCAAGCAAAGCCCTGAACTGTATCTACAAGTCCAGATAAAACAAGAAACAATATACAAGGATATACAAGCAGAAATTCAATGATCCCGACCACAAAGTTTATTATGGATGCGACATCAACTGGAAGTATTTAGACTACTAAACTTCGCAGTAGGCACACATCGAAGCAGAAAAGAAAAGATCGAGCTACAACACTATGAATGAGCAACCTTGGGCGGCACACATACTACATGGTATGGGTACTACACCAAGCTAGACTTCATGGTATGGGTACTACACCAAGCTAGACTTCATGGCTAACTAATATATACAAATGCTTCCAAACACAATGCAAAGCCATGTTCAACCGTACCCTTTAGCTCCAGCTTTTCGACTGGGATCTGCTTCTCCCGCATACGGAATACTTCAAAGTTGGCTACTGTTGCCTGTACACGAGGGCAAGCCAAGACAAGGAAAGTACAACTTACATCAAGTAACAGCAGTTAGAACTGGACATGCAGCTCTCAAAATCATGCCGATTCAACACAACCAAATATCATCCACTGCAAGAACAGCATGCAAGTACAGTTAATAAGTCTGCCAATGGGACCACTCTGATAAGCATAACTGTCCCAGCAGAGCACTAGACCCAGTACCCACATTCGGGATCATCTCCTGATTCTCTCCCCAGAACAAGGTGAGTAGCTGTGCGAGGGGACTGTGTATCACAGGTCCCTGATCCGTGGGCTCAGATGGGTGTTATCATTTTATTGCACCTGACCCATGACTTCCATCTACATGACCAGTTAACTACACTGTCAGATCCGATGCACAATCATCTAGCAGTAAGCAATCAGCCTCACCTTCTTGCGATTGTTAATGAAGCGGTCAACCTTGACTGCCAAGTAGTCTCCCTGGCCATGCCATACAATCTTGCACTGTGAATGGGGAACAAAAGGAAGCACACACACACCAGGACATGGTTACAAAAATACTCGCCTTCACCTCATACAGTACAGCTTGGAAACAAAAATCTGTACACCGTCATCGTCAGGAAACTTGGCCAGTTTGCAGCATCAGCCAGTGCAGCACCAGCAAGTCGGCATGCTAGAGTTCTATTAGCACGGCGAAAACTGGACGGTGAAAGCCCATGCTCTTTGAGCATAACCAACTTTCGAGTACTGGTGTGCTGAAAGTATTTATAGTGCTGAATCCAGTACTAGAGTCACAATGTGCGAACATAGGCACACGTCTCCGCAGCTGCATACCCAACATTGATTTCCCAACAACACCTTCTGACACATCCAGTGGCGTGTCCAGGATTTGGCTGAGGGGGGGTTGCGGCCGGGATCAAGGCGGGATGGGGTGGGGGTAGATGACATCATGCTACTGTCCCAGGTCAGCCATTTTGAAAACCGATGTCAAGAAGCTCCTCCTGTAGCCCCCTTCTTCAACAGTTATTCACCCGAACGGCCCCAGAGACTGTTCCGGAGGATCAGCGCACCACACGGGGACAAGTGTCGAACTTGCTTCAAGTTCCCTTTCTTCGTGGGCCTGCGGGACGATCGACCATGATGTTTCGGGGAAGCATTCTCTGGAACGCTCTCCCCTCTGATTTTAGAGTGATACGTGTCTCTGGTCCCTTCCGAAAAGCTCTTTCTGCCATTGATATACTGGCTTACTTTGTGAATATCCTCGTTAAACTTTTATTATCTGCCATAAATTCCAACCTTCTCATCTATCACATTTGTGCATGCATGTCTATAAAATCAACGACGTGTTCCTGACTCCATGAGATTGTCTTTCTATTCTTTGACTCCATGAAATTATTGTCTTTCTATTTCTGACTCCATGAAATTGTCTTCATAGTTTTCTTCTTTTGGTCCTTTCTGTCTTATAATTATTATTATTATCATTTCTTGTTTTCCCTTGCATATCATCCCTTCATCATTCTGTGCGAACCTGTCCTATGGGCAGGTGAGAAGGCATCTCTGCCTGCTCATTTGGTGAAGTAAAATAAACAACAACAACAAGCCGTAAATCTCACACACCACGAGCAGTATTTCTGTACACGCAGCAACAATGTACATTGTAAACTTCAAATTTGCCGTTAGGTGAGCGAATCAACTGCAATTATTTATGCGAGTCCAACAATTTCTCACCGCTCTCAAAGAGTCAAAGCATCCTTTACATAGGCAGCGGTACTTGTCACTGTGCGCTGTTCTTCATGTTCTGGCTACTCGCTGACAACAGATTCTTCCGCGTCTGGCGGAGTGTGACTGTCAGTCCGCTCCGAAAGTTCAACTGGAATAACAGCGACTTCATCACTCCCACTGTTTGCTGTTGGAGCGGCAGCAGGAGTTGCGCCGCCACAGGAACGCTTTACAAAAATTCCAGGCTCTGCTGGCTAGAGCTTGGCCTTTTGGGATGTCCCTGAGACATCGAAGAAAAGCCTTCGAGTCAACCAAAACACGATTCGAACGAGGATGATCGCCTGAGCCCTCGGCATTCGAATCGTGTTTTGGTTGACTCGATCGAAGACTTTTCTTCGATGTTTGTACCGTTGAAGACGCGTCGAGCGCGTCCCAGCAGGGATCACACTGTACAATAGTACACAGTCAGGTCACCATGTTTCTGTAGCCGCGCCGTGCATGCTCACTGTACGTAGACTCTACTCTGTAGACTGTACTGTACTACTAGTCTGTAGTGTGTACAATCAACACCAGCTCGACCGTGCAACCGCTTTTGGACAATCGTTTCAGGCCGCGCGCGCCCCGAACGAGTCTAGCTCGATCGACCCGGCGCCCTAGCGCCCTGCCTATTATTTTTCGAGACCTAGGTCGAAATTTTTGAGGGGGGGGGGGGGGCGCGCGCCCCCCGCGCCCCCCCCCTAAACCCGCCACTGACATCACATTACCTAATTCACCAAATTGACCAATCTCACCGAACTTGCTGGAGCATAAATAAGGTGGTCATCATAAACTTTGCTTCCATGCTCGCTCAGCACACTTTGATTTTGAAATCGGGCTCAGAGCGAACATGCTGAGTGAGCTTTGGCAATCATATCAATCTTGATCATGCAGGCAATCTCAGCTCGCAATATTGGCAAGAAGACTGAATCAGGCTCTGCAAGCACGTGCGCTTGTCAGAAATTTGATCTAACCAGCATCCAGCATACGACTGTTTGGCCTCGTTGAATTCCTCAAAACACGTGCCTAGAAACTGTCATACCATAATGTCCGCATCTTTAAAGCCACGGCGGTATATTCGATTATAAAGCCAGTCTCAGTTATAAAGCCATGGGCTTCAAAAATGAAATGACATTTGAAGTATGTTTTGTAAAAATGAAGGAGTAAGTACTATGCTAACTAACTTGCAGCCCAGCAGGAAGGGCGAACAAGTGGATTTAGATTGAAATTTCTGTGTGCACTTTGACTTTTATGGCATGGCGTAGTGGGGGAGTCATTTTGCATCTAAAATATCTAGGAAGGCAGCGGTGTTTCGAATATAACGCCATGGCTTTAAAGGCGCTGACATACGGTATGTATCAGTTTGATAATTGGTAAGTTCAAATCTGAAAAGAGACCACGAGTAGCCTTGAACCCTGGAAGTGACAAAACCTCGTAGGCGAGTACAGACTGCGTACTACAATACAAGGACTTACATCAGCGACGCTAAAGAGGTTCATTGTACGGATCTCAATCCGGCTGGGCAGTTCCATGAGGGCCACACGTGCAGGGACCTGCGACTCCTCGGGTGTCCAGTAGGCAATGATGTTGTCGGTGGGAGACCAAGAGAAATACCTAATGACACACATGCACGCACACACACACACAATCCACACACATATACACGGGAAACAGATCAATACACAGCCACGCACAATCAGTTTAGGGGCACGTCAACCATAATTTGAAAAAATTACGAGCAATGCCGGCTTTGTGCTATTGTCAACTTCAGCACTGGGATAGCCTGACATGTCACACAGCTACTATATACAGCTATGACGTAACGAATAACTCCGTCTGGAGCCTGTCATCCGACAGTGGGGCAGCCTTGGCAGCATACCACCGGGCCGTGCCGGAGTCACCAGCACCTCCTCGACTACTGCTGGGATGGCAGCATCAAAGGCACTCGCTCCCGCACCTGACGCCACGCTTGGAAGCGCGTCCGCACTAGCGCAGGTGACTAGGACCAGCGATGTGTCAGTCTCAGCCACCGCCTCATCTTCTGCAGAAGCCGGCATGGAACGGATACAAAGAACGGAGCAAGCGCCGATGAAGCCGAGAAATGTTCTGTAAGTTTCAAGTTCAGAAGCCAAAACAGACATTGAAGTTCTGATTCACAGCAGATGTACTTACCGCACACCTCGGATGATAAGACTTTCCTTGCCGAGCAAGTTGCAACCCTGTACCGACAGCATGCGCAGCACAGCACAATCACGCGACGTTATTGAAACACAATTGTACACCAATTCAGCACCAACACTACATGAAAATTGTTCCTAATTTGTACGCCCGAGTTCCTCTAGTAAGTGAAAACTTACAGCAGCACACAAACTACAGTAGTACATAAATTACAGCAGTACAAGACTGAGTGTACATTGCAGCACTGGGGCACATGTCACAACAAACAGCACAGCATAGCACTGCACTGTAAGGTGGCCAGCTCTCATTAACTTACGGGTGCCTCATATACACTGATCACGTTTTCTGTCATGCGTGCAAACAAGCTGCCATCAAAGTTCCACCTGGAAAGCACCACATGCACCAAAGCACAGCCGTGACTCAATGAGCTTGGTTTGATAAGCAACATTTACACAACTCGCATTGAATACTAGTACTTCAAGTGCCGCCACCAGAGCACCCCCATCTCAGTTTTCAGCCAGAGAAAGGAATGCCGCATGGGTGAGTGTGCCTGTCACAATATGAATTCTCCTGATCCCAGGCCAAAACTCAAACTGAAGCGTACAGATTGTATGATCATGGCCCGGCATTCGCCTGCCGTCGTCGTTTCAATGTGCCGCTCACTGCCACTCGAACATGACATGAGTATGGACGGACTGCACCACATGGGCCGTGTGCACAATGAATGAGTCGCAAAACGTAACGTCAGGATTGCCACCCCTCCCGCCTCCCCCTTCCAAAAAAAGATACAAAACTGGCCTAGGTTGTGACTTGTGAGCACTTTCGTGGTAAGGCTACGTCATACTGCCGCCATCCTGAACGCAGCCAATACCTTCAACCCTCACACCCAGTACACACACACACATATGACATACGCACGCAGACAGCTAAGCTCACTTGAAGATCGGCCACTCCTTGTGCTGCTGGCCATTGAAAGCGCGGAGCTTCTCGCCAGTGCGCACATCCCAGATGATGACAGCCTGTGGGTCTGTGTCATGATCTGGTGCACCGTTGAACGTAACCATGTAACGCTCGCACGGAGAAAAGTCAATCATCTGCACATTAGGATGGAAGAGGCGGCGCTTGCGCGAGAAGTTCTCGCCACCCCAGAGGATGACACCCTGTGCGTGTAGTGAGGCGATGTACGTTCCCTGCGGTGACCACTTCACGTACTTGTCGGTCCAGTACTGTGGACAGTCAGAGCACATATCACACACGGACGCCGCAGTCTTACATCTAAGCACAGAATCTGATGCCAACGTGAGCACACCATATTCGAATGTGCATGTACATCCACCCATGTCTGGAATATCTATGAGAAGTACATGTACTTACTGCAGGCATGTGCCGTGTTTATATGCAAAAAAGCACTGGTGGATAGCAAAGAGGCACAATGGATATGGTGCAGTGAGTGCAGCACATTATATCAAAAGTCCAGTGGCATGCACAATGTGCAGTAAAAAAGAGTGTGCAAGACACACCGGCGACATGACTGGGTGAATTCCAATGCCTAAGTTATACAACAGTGCCTGCAATCCAGCCAGTGTGAGAGATTTCCAGCAAGCCAACCCTGTCTCTTCTGCTCGCTCTTTTGCAGAGAATTGAAAAGCAAAGCATGGGCAAGCACATGGTTGCCCTTTTCCAACCCTAGTGACCACCAGTCTTACATCCTTCTCGTGAACTGGTACGGGTTCATTTGGTGTGTTGGTGAAGATGGAGCAGCCCTCTCCTCCCTTGTACAAGACAGCATACTGGTCGTGAGCATCATTATTCTGAAGCCATGCACGGAGATTCTCCTGTGTCAACACACCAAGGAATACACACACACACACGTGCACACGCACATGCACATACACACACATGCACACACACACAAACCCACGTGAAAAAAGAGCACAGTCAAGATTGTTTCTAAAGAAGACAGAACTTTCCTAGATGAAAATGATGGCAACAAAGACGGATAATTGACACATCGATTTCGTTCAGTAGGCATAGGCAAGGATTTTTCTCAATGACGTCAATGCAGGTAATTGCACAAGAAACTTGCAAGTTATTTCCAAGGGCTCCGCTGAAACATACAGTGCAGGATTTCAGTTCCATAGCCACTCGATAGGCAATAGACTCAATTCCCAAGAGCAATTTAGAAGCCAGAACGTACCTAAAGCTAGTCTATGATTGATCTGCCTCAGAACCATTACGAAACCTTGTGAATTTATACTCCCACATTTCCGATTTCATTTGTGCAAAGATATAAACACATGCCTACACAGGCCAAAGAACACGATGACACAGGCCAAAGAACACGATGACACAGGCAAAAAAATGACACGGGCTACAGACAGCAGCAGCACCAACAGCAGCAGCACCAACAACAGCACCAACAACAGCACCACCACCAGCAGCAACAGTACCACTGCCACCAACAACAAATCTTGCACCATACCTCCCGAGTGTATTCCGCAGGCTCTGGTGGCGTAAACTCATCTGGTAGGTCCATGTATCTAACAATGTATATGAGCAAACAAGAAACCTTGTTAGAAAGTAGTTGGGTGGACACACCCATTCCCAAAGGACCGACCCAATTCTTAACACACAATGTTTTGAAAATATTGCCATTGTCAGGTATGAATGAAACAATGATGCTATGCAGGCTAAAAGAGTAGTTTTATACCAAAGTCCTACCACCAAAACAGCATAATGTCGCGCAATAATAAATACAACGTGTTCAGTGGCGAAGGTAACGTTATAGGTGAGACATTCAACCCTAGAACCAAAACAAATCGTGAGGACAAAATCCTGCCGCCAAACACAGCATGATCTCGCACCATAAGAATAATAAATACAACGAGTTCAGTGGCAAAGGTGTAGTTGAGAGAGTCAACACCTGAGCCAAAGCATATTGTCACATTCCGTCATTGTCAGCTTCATAACACCTATATTTCACACCTACTAGTATGTCTTACACCTGTCATGTGTGTGTGTGTGTGTGTGTGTGCGCCGGCAGCAGGACCTAGCCAGACATTCGCAGTCCTGCTTGTGATCCGTGTCCCGTTTTCTGGTCCCCTTTCCATAGGGGTGACACTTGCCCCTCTGGGCAGTCATGCTGCTAGTAGTAGTAGTGTGTGTGTGTGTGTGTGTGTGTGTGTGTGTGTATGTGTGTGTGTGTGTATGTGTGTGTGTGTGTGTGTGTGTGTGTGTGTGTGCGCGCGCGCGTGTGTGTGCGTGTGTGTGTGGGGGGGGGGGGGGGTGCGCGTGTGGGTGTGGGTGGGTGAGAGCATGGGAAGGCAAACACATACACACAGCTGCACCCAGCCAACAACCAAATCCAAGGTACTCACTTCTGGAAATCAGTCAGCAAGTTGACAGTGAAAATATGTGACTTGTCAAGACGATAGCCATTAGCGGTTTCGACAGCTGATCTCGCCTCCTTTTCGTTGCGATACTCAAGGAAAACATACCTAACACAGTTAAGAGTACAGAACATACACAGGGATTTCAGTTTTCTGCACACTCCCCCAGTGTTTCAAGCTAACCAACAGACTCTCTCCTCTGATGTACTCGCATAATAACAAAGGAAATTTAATACTCATCCATGGTCGATGGTACTGCTGCAAAGCACACGATTGTGCTAGTATGCATGTGCAGATGCTAGTCACATACTGATTTAGTCTCCAAACCACCATGATACATGCAGTGGGGTGCACCTTGGTCTTGGAGGGTAATCCTCGCACTGGTAACTGAGAGGCCGACTAATGACCTTTTTCTTCAACATTCTGTGAGGGGGGGGGGGGGGTGAAATGCTGCTCAGTGTTCACTCAACAAGGTGTCGGAAGATATTGATGTGCTCGAGAAACAATATCAGCCCAACGGCTAGCATGCATGTGTGTGAGCTAGTACGAATGGGGGGGGGGGGGGGGGAGGAGAGAGAGAGAGAGAGAGAGAGAGAGAGAGAGAGAGAGAGAGAGAGAGAGAGAGAGAGAGAGAGAGAGAGAGAGGACAAATTGCAAGATTTCATTTTTAAAACATTCACGAACAGTCCAACATATCCCATACCTACATTACGTAAACAAGCCCATCTGGAGGCATTACTGGCTGCCAGATACGCTCAGCTGTGACAAAAAATGTATTTCAAATCTCAATCCTGCCGGTGTAACTTTAATACACTGAGCGCTGTTCTTCATCCTTAGAAAGTCAAGATAAAAGTGGCTCATTGTCACTTCTCACCACTTCTTTCCTCCACAGATTGCTCCACTGCATGGGCATTCAATTTGTACGCAACCTTTCATAACTCACGTTTTTTCATTACTTCCACCTTGGCCTCACATAACTATTGCTAGTTTTAACCAGAGAGCACAACAATCCCCGTATGAAGTTGTAGTGACTACTGGTGGATCGGCCGCTATCAAGTTAGACAGTGATACAATTAGGTCCTGGGTGCGTTACCGAGCTCATAGCATGCGACATTAATTCCCAATGCTATACACTATACACATAAAAAATTAAATAATGGAAACGATCTCGACGTTGTATAGACCTAGCGGTACCAAATTCCACAGCACCCACCGCTGATCACGCTTGACCGAGGTATTCCACTTCCGGTAATGGGCATGCAACTGAAGGTCGGATGTGTATGCCGGTCAATAGAGTGATGCATGATTGTGGTGTTTGGTAGTTCTGTCATAGACTAATGGCTGGGTAGCTGCTATCCAATTCGTAGAAAATTCCCTCATGAAAATGACTGCATTGTACAAGAAATTCAGTGTCATCCCCGTGAACTTCAGGCTGGTGTCGGTTTGGATTGTTTCCAACATGATACCATGACCACAGAAAATTCAATTGCGACCATCAACCCCAGCTCTCAAGATAATCGACAGAATACTTAGAAGCATGGATTAGAAAATATAAAATCAATATTCTCAACTTCACTAACCCTCTTGTGACCCCATTGTCATCTATGGGAAAGTATGGTTTTCCAACAATAGTTCCAAAACGTGACATAATCTTCATGACGACGGCTTCTAGCTTAGCCAATCTCTCCTTTCCAACTTCAGGGATATTGTCGACAACAATGGCTGAAGAGATTCCACATACTTCCTGAGGCTGTCGGAGTCCAGCTCTCCGCATAAGCTCTGCACCGACAAAGACGGTTGGGTGTCAGCTTCCTGGAAGCAGCATACTTTACACACCCATCAAGAAAACCACTAACCTTCATCGCTGACCTCCATGTCTGGGCCTCCACCGCCGGCCATTTGCTGCAGTAAACAGCGTTCTCCTCAAAACAACCGAACTTGAACACGACAGGTGATCCTTCGCCCACAGTTTGCTCCCACACGGGCAGTACAGGGATCCGCAAAGCGGAGCATGCTAGCACCCGGTCGGCTCCTCGGATCGGACAGACACTGTCGCCATCTTGAGATCCATGGCAACAACTGGTTAGCAACGGGCTGCTCACGTCACGTCGTCGGGCATGGCCCAGTCTTGTAAGCAGGGAGTCGTAAAATACCGGGTATTTTACGACTCCCTGCTTGTATACAGTATTCTCTTGATATCGAATACCAATAGCCTCCTGGGGCTACTCTTGATAATACTTACAAGCAGGACTCTTGCCGTCTTGGTATCATTGTAGCCAGACCCTGCACTTGTGGAAGGAGTGTCTGAGTCCATGGCATAACTCTTGCTTGAAGCTGAGATTCACACTTGATTTGCCACATTACCACAAGTAAAGAGCCCCCTCCCCACCCGGCACCTGGCTGCAGGCATCTGTCATAGTCCGTGAGCCAAAACTCAAAATCACAAGTGCCGTTGCACTCTCGGAGGGACAAGTCGCCGCTTACAGTGTTGGTCAAGGACATCACAAAGGATACGTTTTCGCTTGTTGGACGTTCCAGAACCGATCCAGAGACCTTCGGGAGGGCTTCTTTTCTCGACCAAATTCCACCGTGAGAACAAATATTTTTACGCGAGTGGTGAGGTGTGCATCGGACGAGTAAGCACAAAAGTACGATTTCGGGTGGAGTGAGGAAAAATAATTTATTTTTTAGAAGATAACGACGTTGACGACAATATGGATTTGGGGTTTTGTGATCACTTTATTGAAGTTTATTCCTTTCGTGTACATTGATGTTGTTTGACAACAATGGAAGAGGAGGAAGACGTTTCTAGTGGCAGCGAGGTGCCAGATGGGGCAGCTGACGGCAACGAAGTGGCAAATGACAGCCCAGCGGAGTAATATTGCTGGAATTTGTGTCTGTGTGACAGCACCCAATTTAGTAGAAACGAGAAGCCTGCAGCGAGTAATATCGAGACTACAAGTTGGCGTCGCATCGTCAGCGCTGTTCGAGAGAAGGACGACCATGTCTGGGATTTTCTCTGCCAGCACAAGGGCTCAGGGAAGAGCAAACGGTGTGGCTGGTATCATGGAAAGTGCTACACCAATTGCACGCATGTGATCCTGAGCATTTGCAACACTGGAGAAGACCAGTGCCTCTGATTTTGCTTTATCTATACTTACTGACAGTGATGTGCATGTAGTAGTGAACCCAGAGCCACATCCTAAGGCCAACAAGGGGCTACCTACCAGGAGCTTAGTGGCTGATACGAACAACGAATGCCATGAAAGCAGAGCACGGTGTCAACACAACACCGAGAACTGGTCCACCCAGAGTTTACGGAAGGGAATGTTTTGTTGCAGGCAGCACTGGAGAGGGCAAGACGACAAGTAGCGAGGGCGAAACCAGCGCTGCTGGAGGTCCAAGCCAGAGCACCTGGCTGCTTGACGAGGAACATACTATACCATTGTCTGTGTATGTGTGCCAGTGTGTGCATGCGTGTGTGCGTGCACGTTTCTGTGTGTGCGCGCGCGCGTGTTTGTGTGTGCGCGCGCGCGTGCATGTGTGTGTGCTCGTGCGTACATGTGTGTGTGTGCGCGCCCGTGCATGTGTGTGTGTGCGCGCGCGCGCGCGGGTGCATGTGTGTGCGTGCTAGGCGCTTTCCTTTGTTGGTGACACCACCCCAGGCTACAACTGCGGGCCGGATGGTGGGTGTCGGGGCACGGTGTTGCCACAATCACTGTGGTCAGTGTGATCCGTGTTTCAGGTCAGTGGTGGGTTTTAGCTCACTGCAGCGAAAGCGATCATGTTGCAAGTTAACCCGAGGGTTCCAGCCGCACAACTGCAACAAATGGATTCAAGAAAAGTCTAGATCTCGCTAGGACGTTGATGCGAGCAGCGCCTCAGCCAAACTCTCCATGTCTGTCGGCCCCTCACACGAGGGGACATGTAACCGGAAACGGCAATGTTCAGGACAGGACAAGACAGGAAGTGTGTTCCGGCCGCGGGACATGCTGGTGTTGCTGGTTTTGCAGCAGAGGAGCTTTGGCCGACCACACGTGCATCCCTAGATTGCCTTCACTCCCATCCGCTACTGGACTCTGCCTCGGTGATCAGGCAGGCACCAGGGACATCTGCTTTTCCTTTGTTCGGTCGCTGTCCGTCTTGTGAAGAGAGATCAATTTACAACTGACGGCAGCAGGACCACAACAGACAACGGGCATCGGTCATTTTGCACTCACTGAGGTGGGTCCTCCTCCTGATCCGGCGTCCTCCTGGAGTCTGTTCTTCTCCCATTGCCATTGGGGTTGCGTGCCTGGGAGACTGCATAGTCGGATTCGGCAGCTGGTCCATGTGTGTGTGTGTGTGCGCGTGCACGCGTGCCTGGGAGACTGCATAATCGGATTCGGCAGCTGGCTCATGTGTATGTGCGCACGCGCGCGCGCGCGTGTGTGGATGTGCACGCATGCCTGAGAGACTGTATAGTTGGATTCGGCAGCTGGTTCGTGTGTGTGCCCGTGCGCGCGTGTCTGGGAGACTGCATAGTCGGATTCGGCAGCTGCTTCATGTGTGTGTGTGTGTGTGTGCTCGCATGCGCACGCGTGTGGGTGTGGGTGCGCGCGTATACGTGTATGTATGTATGTATGTGGCATCATCTTATATCGGTAGTTATCTGTGTATTACTGTGTACTGCGGTGGACTGCGATAGCACACATTATGTGCCAAGATGTGCACCTAGCTGGTGATTTCCAACTGTGTTATGTTGAGTGGAAAATGAGCAATGACAGATAGTTTTCAGTACTGTATGAGTGTGTTAGGCAATCAATAGCCAATTCCAACCTCTTGCATTGGCTGTCAGGTTGGATAGGATCAGCGCGTGCATTTACAACAGTGGTGACGTACTTCCTATTGTACTACCGTAATGTCACATTAGCTTCAGTGTTCATATCATTCTATACTGGAGTATTCTACGTACATGTATTCAGTAATGGAGTGGTTATTATAAATATACTTCACTCACCAATTCATTGCTCGCTATTATCTACAAGTCCAATTCCAGTATGATGAAGTCAAGAAGCGATTTATCCAGCCAAGTAGATGAACTTGGGATACGAAATCCAAGAGAAATCATAAGGGTATTCTCAGTTCAGCCATTCACGAATGTAATTGTTATTCTTCAACGCAAACTGAGTAATATTTGACCTTGAACAGGATGAAAAGAAGTTCATGCTCGGGGCAGAGTCCGCCATTCGCTCCAGAAGGTTACTCACTACAGTCTTCTACGCCTAGGAAGTGGTGAACAAATATCTCGAGAGGTATTTAGGACATTCTTTGAAGTCAGTTTAGTTCTGAACGAATGCATTGTAACTAATAATAATAATTACTTTGCTGCAGTTTGCATGCATGATCCGGATTGATAATTCTCAGCGGTAAAAAAATTCAAATCTAGTTTTGTGCACTGGTTTCCGCGTTATGTGCACTCGTGGAATCTGCTCATGGCTTTAAAAAATGAGAATCCGTGAACAAGCGCAAAAAAATCAAGTGAAGAAGGCGAAAATGGCCGCTGCTGTCAGTGAGCAAAGTTGGATGTTTGGCGTCTTCTGTGACCTCCCTGGATCAGTTTCGAATTGTCCAACAAGTGGAAATCGCTTCAGGATACCATCCTGAAGCGGTGTGGTGAAGGACGATTTGTCCCTCTCTGGGTGCAACGGTCGATGCTAAAACAGCCGATTCTGAGATTTGGCTCACGGACTATCAAGTGTATTGCATGCTGCAGGGCCTTTTATTTTATTTATTTATTTTATTTTATTTATTTATTGCAGCATCTCATAGCACAGTGAGAACACCGGCCAATACAAAGAGAGAGGGTGTTAGCCAACCACGGCAAGGAAGGGAGAAGGGGAGGAGAAGAAAAAAGGAACCGGCATGGATAAGTAGTGATTGCAACAAAATGAGAAACACAAAATCAAAGTCAAGGCGCGACAAGGCTCTTAAAAAGGCGGAGGGAAGAAAGGTCCTTAGCTTCTTTGGGGAAGTGCCAGCCACGCAGAGTACGCAGTGAAAGGGGAGAGTGAAGTAGAAAGGAGGACTTGGGTTTCGGAAGGGAAAGGGAGTTTCTCGTGCTACGGGAAGAAAACCAGTTGAAACAGTGGAGGTGAGGTGGACACAGATTGAATTTGAGAGAATGGATAAGGGTGACAAGATGTGAATTACGTCTCTTAGACAAAGGGGTAGTGTGAGCAAGGGCATAAAGGGTGGAAGATGGGAGCATGCGGGGTTTCCGGAGGAGGAACTTTTTTGTGCTGAATTTCGAGCTTTTCAGCACGGGTTGTGGAAATTCCAGCCCAAGCAGTATCTGCATAATCAATAATGGGGCGTATGTAAGCTGAGTAAAAGAGGAGTTTACAAGAGATTGGGAGATGGTAACAGTGAGAAGAAAGGATTCCTAAAGATGAACTTGATCGTTTACATATGTAATCGATGTGGGGTTCCCATGAAAGATTAGAGTCAATGAAAATGCCAAGATGCTTATGGCTGGAGACTATGTCTATAGGCTGGGGGAAAGTGGGATGGAGGAGGGGCGGAACATCAGGCTGAGAAGGAAAGAGCATGATTTTAGTTTTAGACAGATTGGGCGATAACCGCCAAGACGACATCCAGGAAATTACTCTTTGAATCCCGTTAGCTAGGTTACTCATCAGGCCAGTGATGTTAGGAGATGCCCGTAGGAGCGTTGTGTCGTCTGCGAATAGTGATGTGCCCGGGGCAGCTGTGGGCAGATCATTGACGTATAAGATAAAAAAGAAGGGGGCCGAGGATGGAACCCTGGGGAACTCCGGATAGTACTGTTGTGTCGGCTGAGGACGTCCCATGTACCGTGACGTACTGCGTTCGCCCAGTTAGGTAAGATGTCAGCCATAGCAGGGGACAGGGGCCTTCTTGACAACACAACATGCATCGTGTCATATACTAGTATTTGCCAGACTTACTGACTATGCCATAATCATGGTATCCATACATGGAGATCACAATGGAAAATTCAGTAATCTTCTCTTGTTCTCAATATTCCCTGAATGCTGCGGTGTGCACTGCACACCCACATCCAACTACATGTACAATTACACGTACAAGACCATGACTGCACACGCACTATTATAATTATCAGGAAATAAGTCTGGGTATCACTATCAGTTCTTGAGAATGCATACTACTGTAGTAGAGCAAGTCAGCTACTGTGCCTATGCGCACCCCCCCCCCCCCCCTAATTCGGGTGAAGGGCCTCCGTCTACAGGGGGTTTGGATCAAACACACACCCATTCAACCCGGCCATGTACATTCGAGCAAAGGGCCTTCCACAGGGATTGGATCATAAGAAGCAGACACACACCCATCTTTAGTACACTCCATCATGCTTTTTATCATTTCTCACACCAATTTGGCAGTATCAAGCTGTGGTACGACCAGGGAGTCTTACTTCAAGTACAAACCCGACGACTCCCAGGTACGACAGCATACAGCAAGTCCAGTTCGCAGACTCGGGAAAGCTTACATGCACACTTGCTCATACTCTGCAGATAGCAGCTGTGTGTGTGTGTGTGTGTGTGTGTGTGCGCACGTGCGTGTGTGTGCGCGTGCACACACATACGCATGTGTTTATCCACGTTCGCTAAACGCGTTGTAATCATCCCCTTGCAAAAGTAGAAAGGGTACCGGTATGTGCTATGCAAGGTAGGAATGGAATGTGAACATCAGTGAATGAAATAAACTCCGCTCGTTCGCATTGATTTCGCAGCTCCGCAATCTTACCGGGCAAGACATCATTTTGATATGGCTTACGTGTTGACCGGATGCAACGAGAAAGTGGACACAAACTGCGCTTTATGTTGCATGATATACCATCCAATCCAGTCCATGAAGGCACTCCTTGATCAATTGCTTCAAATCAATATCATTTTAAGATGTGGCATCCTACCCGCCATCGACTTTACACTAACAAAAATGCCCTAGAATTACTCGACAGAGGAGGGTTGTAGGAGCACACATCTAACATTTTCTGCAAAAATCAAGGTCAGAATTTTGTCCACTGTTTTTTGTCTCATCCCGGTAGATCTACAAGTAAAAAATATGAGAGAATATCAAGAAGTGTCTAGTTGTGTTCAAAACCGGCCTCATCTGCCTTGATTGTGACTCCTCTCTGGATCTGTCCCCAGCCGATCAATCTGTCAAAAGAAATGTGCACGCACGCACGCACACACACACACACACACACACATACACACACAAGTACATAAATAGAGAGGTTCAGTGACTCTATTGTTTCATACAAAACAAGTCAATGAGTCACTGCTGGATTAGAGTCTTGTAGATTGGTTTCGTATAGACAGGTCCAGGCTGTTCGATTCGTAAGTAGATCTGAGCACGAGCTTCCCCAAATAAGGACTACCATGTCAAAACAAGAAGTACGATGTAGTACCAAGAGTAGATAAACAAGAGTGTGCAACTCGCGGATGGGTTGGCCCATGGTGGAATTTTTAGTTGACGTAATCTTTTCTACGGCGCACACACTGCGAGTCTTTTGGGAAGTTTTGCCTCGTGCAATTGGCCGGACTTTACATTACAAGGTTGGTGCCCAGCACGTGCTCTCACACTGCTTTGCGGCAAAATGCGTGTCCTGTGTAAAAAGGTGACGTCAACAAAAACTTCCACCGTGGGCCGGGGTATCTGCAGCTTGTGCAGGAGAGATGCGAAGTTGCACACTCTTGTTTATTTACTCTTGGTAGTACCCATATCTTTCTCGTAAATATTCTCGTAAACTTGACTTTCTCAAAAAAACTGTATATTGCCAAGGCAATCAAAGCCCACTGACATTGACTTTGTTCACAAGTCACCGAACCCTTTTGCTTCAAAGTACGCATACCAAAATTGGACCATGGAACGAAATGAATTTCGTTTTCTGCACGAGTTCACGAGTCACCGAGTCTCCCAGATGTACATTGTACACGGCTGTTCGCGCACGGACATCTAACAATATGGAGTCGTTCAGTGCGATTTACGTAACGCGGTACAGACCTCATGAATACGATGGGAGTTTGCGTTTTGGGATGAAACTCATGTCACTCTCCGTGTGGTTCCACGATTTCGCAAGTCAAACCAGGATTTATTATTTGAAAGCGCTCGAGCGAGATACTCAATATCCAGACAATTTGAGAGAGAAGGAAGGTAAAAGGAACTCCTGCCGTGGTCAACCAGCATCCTGACCTTTTCGAACCTCTCCAAGCTATCCCTGGTAGTCTGGATATTGACGCACACACTGATTTTCAGCTTCTCCTCGTCGGGATCACGGGTGCAACTTTCAAATTTGCCGATATGCACTCGAACAAACGCACAATTGGATCTACATCACAATTTCGGGGCTATCTGTGTGCTTGCTGCCTTTTTCAGCAATACCCCACATGTCTACTGGGCAGTTTCCACCAGGCCTCGGCCTCCTGGACTCAACAGCGACTCCAGCGCCATGCCATCTGTCCCCTAAATCGCATGAAAAGGTAGCTCAGCATCGCACGCACGGGACGTGATAAAACTTGGTGAAGATAGCCAGAAGATAGTCCTCTACCTGGGGAAACTGAAAGCTAGACTGGGAAAACTTCTGAAAGGGCTTCTTGAGGCAGGCATGTCAACGATGAATCAAGGAACGAGCGAGAAAGAAGGCTTGACTTGTGCAACGCGGAACAAACTGTTCCTGCGAGGAAGTTGGCCATGTGAGGTACCAGCGGAAAGCTAGTTTCAAGAGGAACACGGAATACCTGTTTTCCGGGTAAACCTGGCCTGGTAGCTTTCTAAATCGAGCGAAAACCACAGCGAAATCGGCTGCTGAGAATTTGAAAATTCAAATTTCCTTGCCGATCCAGCCCAATCGAGACTTTTGGCTGCCATCTTGTTAAATGTCCAAATTTCGCGAAAAAACAGCCGTGCATGTAGTGCATGCATCTACGCTATCCACGCAGTCTACAAGAACGTAAGGAGCGTTCCTGAACCAAAACTGCTTCACACTTGCAGTGTGATGTGGTATTTCCCTCATTTCTGTGCCCCTATAGTTGCTGTCTGAGCAATTTTGCCACATTCCCTGTAAGAGCACTTGATGAGAAGAGAACGAAAACGTTACATACAGTCTATTCTGACATGATGGAGGATCAAGACTTTCCAAATCCAAGTCAAGTTAGGTTGCACATGGCAATACAACCTTGGCTTTATCCGGCTACAATCGAGTTTTGACCAGTAAGTTTGTCCAAATCCAAGTCAAGTTAGGTTGCACATGGCAATACGACCTTGGCTCTATCCGCCTACAATCGAGTTTTGACCAGTAAGTTTGTGCATCGATTTACGGCTGAGCATCGAACTCAGTAAGGGCTCAGTCGAACTGAATAGTGAGGTTCTGCCACACGGTATAACGTGCCAAAGTACGTATGGAAACTTCGCCGCGGTACGGGATTTAGTTTGATACGGATTTTTTCATACCGTTTTCCGTGTGAAGCGCGGTTGACACGGACTGGACTCCGTGTGAAAACTGAGCGTACAGAGTACATGTGGCGGGGTGTTCGTGCATGCTTCAAGCATGCTACGTACAGCAGAACCGGTGCAACGTACGAAAAATCCGTGTCAAACTTCACTGCAGTTGACACGGAGTTTGGTACGTAGTTCCGTGTAGCAGAACCTCTCTAATGAAAGCAAATTACAACAAACCCAAGATAAATACAGAATCAAACACGGGATTCAACTAACCTCCAGTGCTTCTCAACGCGCCGACTGAGAGCGATACGTTCACCCTTCTGTGTGCACACTGGCTGTGTTAGGGCAATCTTGGCCAAATCGGCACGGATAGCTAGGACACGGCCACCGGTACTTAATGATCCAATGTTGACCATCAACACCTCACCCTTGGTCAACTTCGCCACCTGGACAAAGAAACGAGGAAACCAAGAAAGGAATGACAACTCTAATGCCGCGAAAACTAAAGTACATGTACTTGGCAATCATTTGCAAAATATTACCGGGATGAAGCTGAATGAGTGGTATCAAGTATCAGAGGAACATAGCAGGATGCTGCTGTCATGGCTTACGGTCCATACAGTCAAAACAACTACCTTATTATACTGTACATGGATTTACAGGTATATACGTCACTGTTGGGCCATGAGACAGCACAATGATGAACGCTGCTCTACATGGAAGGAAGTGACTTTATCTGAAGTACAAGATACCACGACCACATGGACGTAACATTTTCACAGGTACAGTCATGTAACCTCAGACTCAGAATACTAAGTACTACCAAGTACTTACCTTGGCACCCTTCTTGTCACCTTCCGTCCGCACACCGAGCAAGCGGCGCAGCAGGAAATATGAGATTTCCAACTCGGTGAAGATGTCGGGCAATGCACCAACTCCACCAAGGACCTGTCCGTGATCACGCACGCACCATACACACCGCAGACAAGGATCAAAACGAGGGTCTTGTTGCGAAGGGCCGCGGCTAGGGCGCTTGCTTTGCTAGCCATGTTTGCATACATGGGAATCTCTACGGGATGCCGAAGCCAGGCGCTGCCCGATACAACGTGTTTGAGTTGTCAGTAAATGTACATCTGTGCACGTGTGTTGCAGCTGCTGACCCATTGATTACTCACGCCCTGAGGCAACAACTGGCAAAGTACTGTCGTGGACATGGAAATCCAGTCGGAAGTCAAGGAGGCAATGCAGCCGTGAGTTCGCATGCGATCAACATGTGCGCTGCGCATGCAACGTTCTGTACGCACTGAGGGCGCCGGCCACGGTCATTCGACCGGATTTCCATGTCCACGACAGTAGGTAACACGTTGGAAGTCGTTGCTACATGTACACATCACATGTACACGCCAGTCGCTCACCCGCGATAATGAGCGGTTAATTCACTGTTTTGCACAACGATGGGTAACGCAATGTAAGTAAGCTGTTAAGCTGCGTTCGCATGAACACACAAGCCAACGCCATGAGTGCTGTGAGCAATATATGCAGGACCGGATCCAGGGTAAACCGAGGGACGCTGAAAATACGATGGCAATTTTTTTTCTTTTAACATATTGATCATAGGTACACCATCACGTACCATTGTGGCATGCGTGAGCACCTATCCCCCCACCCCCCTTGGATCCGCCCTGGCATGCACGACAAAGTGACATAACACTCGCAGTTCAATCAAACAGCTCTCTAAAACACTGAGCAAGTGATGACCTGCATCCCGTACGCATGATGTGGCCAGAGTGTTTGTAGTGCAGGTCACATGACATACACAATGGTACACAAAAGCACTGTGTGCGTCTCGTAGGCATTAAATTATGGTGAAAAAGGAGAGTGTGCCATGTTGTCGAACTCGCTGACTGTATAAGATCTGGCTACGTTGGTGGACAGTTAGTCATAACTCGTAACATTTTTGTCCTTCTCCTTTTCACTATGCATTCATGCTCAAACAAACGTATGCAATAAGGCCGCTGGACCCTGACTTCGCCAGACGTTCTAAGGCCCTATAGGATATCAAACGCGCTTAGGGGCCGTCCAAGGTTACCAATAATATTTTCGAAACGAAATGTTTTCGTTTGTGGGTGGGTGGGTTTGATGGAGTTTCGTTTTGAAAATAATTATTGAATGCTGATGGAGAATGCCCAGTTACTTCTGGGTGTCGAAAATTGACATCAATATTTTATTGGAATTCGTTTTACCTGCAGTAAAGGTGGGTGGGTGGGTGGGGGCTGAAAAATACTAAAACTTTTCGTTTTGTAAAAACAATCGGTAACCCCGGACGACCCCTTAGCAGCATACGTCTGTATTGGATATCATGGGATCACACACGATTTCCCACAGAAAATGAAAGGTGTGATTCCCGAAGATATGCAAAAGATATGTGAGGGCACAGAGAGAGGTACTGCGCCAGGTCTTCCGAATAGGTGCGGAAATGAACGACTTCCGGCCGTGGCTACACTAGACGTACTGTCGCTTTGTGACGTCTCACATCCCCTGCATAGCTTCAGGAATTACACCTTATATTTTCTGCGAGGAAATCGTGCATGATGCCACAATATCCAATATAGACTTATGGAAGCTGCTTTGCTTTGATAAACATAGGCGAGGCGGCCAACCAACAGAACAGAAACGAAAAAAAGGGGTGAGCATTTGACTTACCTGACCAACGAGTCGATCTGCACGGCAAAGTGTTGGGTCAATCTTCATTCCCACACCTGGTGACATGCGAAATAGAGAAGGCCAGAGGAAGTCAAAGTTAAGCACAGTACGAACACGAAGCACCAAAGAGGTTTCGACTTGCACACCCAAGATGGGTGCACGGGCTCGAAACGCAACAGTCAAGAATCGACAATGCGCAAAGACCCACGCTCAACAAATGTCGGGAATGATCCTGACAATTCGAGTGGCTAGGGTATGATACGAGTCTATCACGCTGTGAAACTACCGTAAGATTGTGCCTTTATTCCCAACCTAACATACCGTATGTCAGCGCCTTTAAAGCCATGGCCTTATATTCGAAACACCGCTGCTTTCCTAGCTATTTTAGATGCAAAATGACTCACCCACTACGCCATGCCATAAAAGTCAAAGTCCACATAGAAATTTCAATCTAAAACCACTTGTTCACCCTTCCTGCTGGGCTGTAGGTTTGTTAGCATAGTACTAATTCCTTCATTTTTACAAAACATACTTCAAATATACTTTCATTTATGAGGCCCATGGCTTTATAACTGAGACTGACTTTATAATCGAATATACCTCCATGGCTTTAAAGGTGCGGACATACGGTAACATTAGTCTGTCAGAAAAATGAGAAGAGCCGCTTGGTCTAAGAACATCACCATACATGATACCGAGGTGAAAAGTTTGAAACCTACCGATGAGACCGCCAGGTACAGCATACTGCAGGTCATTCTGTTCGGCATAGAGCGAGACGATCTTGGACAGGATTGTCCGGCAGTGGACCTTTCCTTCGTTGTCTTTCCACACCATTCCAGGTCTGACCTCACACTCTTGGCCGACCTTAACATACAGAAGCACCAGCCACAATATATCATCAAGAGTGAATAAACAAGAGTATGCAACTGTGGTTATGGCCCAGTGCGCGGCGCACTGCCTTCATTACGTAACTTGCCTTCATCACGCTCTGAAAGCATGCATTCAAACTCACAATTTCTCGTAAGAGCCCATCCGTTTTTGCTCGATTCGTTCCAGTACCTACGCGATCTCTGAATTCTGGCGCGTGAACTCCAGTTCCGTATGAAAGTTCATTTCAAACCAGAGGGAAAGTGCGGTGTTTGATTTTCCGAAGTGCGCGGATTGCAGCTGAATGATGTAATGAAGGCAGCGCGCCGCGCATCTGGCCCATAGAAAAGAGATCACAGTTGCATACTCTTGTTTATGGACTCTTGATATCATTAACAGGACATAAGGGAGGTTTCGCTCTACGGAATTACGTATGAAAATAACGTAGGAACTGCACGTAGTTTCATAAGTAAAAATCAGGGCTGTTGGGTTTCGATCTACCTGATTTCTCCACGACTGCTAACCATGCCTTGTTGCTTTGGAGACGGGTTGGCTGCATGCGCCCACCGCATGCACCACGAACCGAAACCGCGATTTCCATTTTGTTTTCCACGTAGTGTGTACCTTGTGTTTCGCGCGGCTTGAATGTTGCCATGGATAAATCCAGAAAGTGCGAAAAATATTTCAAAAAGTCCTACGGAGGACCCAACGTAGGAAAGAGCTTTCCTACGGAAATCCGTAGAGAGATTTACGTATGAAAGTTGCCCTCGCTCCCCGGCGCGTACGACATACGGATTTTCATACGTAATTACATAGAGCGAAACCTCCCTAGTAAATGGATATGGTGTTTCTCTGAGTATCTGCCACTGGAACGACATGGATGTCCAACCACCTACTCAATATTGCCTCGTGATAAGTCACAATAGTGCAGCACATGTCACCAAGAGTACACGAGCCCCAAAAGTGTGCAACTGTCTGCATTTTTCTTTATCCAGTGCTGCGACAGCAGAGCTTCACATCACTTAACATGGTTCAATAGGTTACACAACACAGTCATCCGACTTTAATCCAGCACCCTCTATAAACCAGCATAATTTTAAATTTTCAGTTACCAAAACGTCCTTTTCGTGCACATTGCAGCAGTAAATCAGATTTTCTAATCCAGCAGAATTTCCGTAGCACGAATGGTGCCGGATACTAGAGGGACCACTGTAGAAGAGCGCCTACAACCAATCCTATAGCTACCATCAAGAGTACATAACCAAGAGTGTGCAACTCGACGATCCCCCAGCCCACGGCGGAATTTTTCTATGACATCAGTCTTTGGCGGGTGTTTGGCTCGCCGATGCCATCATGCGTAGCCAGAGATCAACGTACAAAGAATTTGTACATCACAGCTACGGTAGTCGAAGCAGAATAACGGACGATAGATCGCTGTGTCCTGAACCTGGTGAACTCTCACCGTATCTACAAAAAATGCGCGGGAAAGCATACGCACTTGATCATACTCCAGCCAAAGAATGACGCAATAAAAAAAATCCGCCGTGGGTGAACCCATCGCAGCTCGAGATAGGAGTTGCACACTCTTGGTTATGTACTCTTGCTATCATGTACAGGGTGCAGGCAGTGTGTTCGAATTGATCATGTGATGTGAAATGCTTCCGTTGCATTCCCCATGGGCGGCAGCTGCACACTCTTGGGGGCTATGTACTCTTGGTGTTACATACATGCTGATGTACATATCACAAGATAGGCAAGCCGCAAAGCTGCCAACGAAGGATAAGGTGCCACAGATCAGCAAATGGATACGCTGATGATTACATGATATGTATCAAAATTAGGGCCGAAACGATTATTCCGATTACTCGTATATCACTCGTTATGGATGAAATCGATAATCGTTATGACCGATAACGATTATGACTGTACAGTGCGAGAGCTGTCATGGCGTCAGTACACGCAGACCGTGCATGGCATCATGCACGCGTGTCATGCGCACAAGTGCATGACCGTCGAAGTACACGTGCATGAAACCGTAGGTCTGTACAATCATTGCGCCCTTGATCCTTTTTGGGTACTCGTAGTCGTACATAGTCACTACATTCACTGCACTAGTCAGCGTGGCCGGAAAATGTAACAACCGGAAAGCTTCATTACTATTAGGTTGTAGCGAAACTGTGAGTGTGGCTGCCGGCCTTCTAATTTGTTCAGTTCTTGTCAAAAACTTACAGTTAGTTTTGATTTTTTGGCGAGGAGAGCATGCAGTGACAAAAATATGCTGCCACCTGGAAAAGCGAAAGTTAGTCTGACCAAGAGATCGCCAGCTTGGGTATATTTCGAGGAATCTGATAGCGTAGCGAGATGCAATTCGTGCAGCCGCGAGTTCGTCCGTCAAAGTGGCACAACCAACTTGTTCCAGCACCTGATTTCTGCTCATAAAGATGAGTACGCCGCTGCGGTAGGGAAAGGACCAGCAACCCAGTCGACAGCAACGGCGACTACCAGCAATGTTGAGCGCAGTGACAATGCAGCGAACAGTGCTGGAATGAAGCCCGTCACGGCGTTCTTCGGCACCGGTAACTTGCGAACGTGCGACAGCAGGCGCTCAGGCATGTTGACGGAGTCGATCATCGACTGGATTGTCGATTCCAGTCGACCCTTCTCCATTGTAGAAGACAGATGACTGATCGTTGATGTTTAATGCAGGGTTCTAGCCAGGTCAAAATAGTAGGGGGTGGGCATGGAAAACAGTTACCCAATATCCCATTTTTCCACTTTCCAATATTGTCTTGCCACGTCAAATGCAACGTATGGGGCAAATCCCTGACTTCACCCCAGACAAATGTGCCTTTATGAACCATCTATGCATGAAAAACACGAAAATCGGAAAATGAGTAGGGGGCGGCAATTTTTCACAGGGGGGGGGGGGGGGCGCAAACAGAGTAGGGGGCGCTGCGCCCCCCCCCCCCCCCCCCCTTGGCTAGAACCCTGTTAATGGCAGAGGAACACTGCTCATATCACGTTGCAAATTTCATTTTAGTCTTTTTTGGGCCTGTGTGGATCTTTCACCCATACGTACCTGTATATAGTTGAACAAATTTATTATTGTTTTTGCCGTATACTGATGTCCAACATGACACGTATAAAACTTGTTCGTAAAATCGGTAAAACCAATAAATCGATCGTTAGTGTTATTGGTTTATCGTTAAGGCAAAATGGGCTATCGTTTCGGCCCTAATCAAAATAGCACCTGAGGATAGCTCGCCAAGTTCTTGAGGTTTGTATAGATGCATGCCACGTGGACAGAGACTCATGCACAGCTTAGGGGTCGCCCAAGGTTACCTATAGTATTTTCAAAACGAAATGTTTTCGTTTGGGAGTGGGTGGGTTTTAGGAGTTTCGTTTTGAAAACAATTATTATTATTAAAGGTGCATGGAGAATGCCCTGTTACTTCCGGGTGCCGAAGATGGAAATCAATATTTTTGTTGGACTGCGGTTTACCTGCAGAAAGGGTGGGTGGGCGGAGGCTGAAAAATACTAAAACCTTTCGTTTCGTAAAAACAATCTGTAACCCCGGGCGACCCCTTAGCAGTAAACTGACCTTGAGAACACCCTTCAGGATACTGCCTCCAGCAACACCACCCTTCAAGTCTTCAACTTCGCAACCGGGCTTGTTCACGTCGAATGATCGGATAACTGGATGGCAAGAGAGAGAGAGAGAGAGAGAGAGAGAGAGAGAGAGAGAGAGAGAGAGAGAGAGAGAGAGAGAGAGAGAGAGAGAGAGAGAGAGAGAGAGAGAGAATCAAACCTTCAGAATTACAGAAGACTTGGACAGCAGCAGCAGCAGCAAGACAAGCCAAATGCAGAGACACTAACGGCAGTAGTGCCGTGTCCGCAATAGCAAATACCCGACAACCTACCGATTAAGTGAGGTGCGGCGGTGAAATTTCTCTCCGGCGTGGGAATTTTGCGGCAAAGGTACTCGCACACCACCTCAATGTTGTACTTCAACTGAGCAGAGATGGGGATGACTGGAGAGCCTTCTGCGACGGTACCTAAAGAAGATCAAGGAGACAGGCAGTGTGAAACAGTGGAAAGCTGTAGACTTCCATCGCACGAATGTCACTCCTCAAAACAAAGAGAATGGTCTGTAGAGTATACGACAGTAATCACATGCCACGAAATAACAAGTACAGTGTAAATGCATACCAACGCTCACCTTGAATAAACTTCAGGATCTGCTGGTGCTGCTCCAGAGCGACATTTTCCTTGACCAAATCAATCTTATTCTGCAAAATAATGATATGCTTCAGCTTCATAATCTCAATGGCTGCGAGATGTTCCGATGTCTGAGGTTGCGGACAAGTTTCATTACCAGCTGATCACGACACACAACAATACAGAAACAATACACTGTCTAAAACAAGAATACCAAATAGGAAATGTTGCAGAAAGACCGGGTGGAAAGATAAAAATGTGCTCAAGGAATGGCAAGCACTCAACCAAAATTGGAGGCAGGCAAAACTTAAATCCCTGCATTGGAGAAAAGGCTGTTCGGATTTTGAATAGTGCACAGGACAGAGACAAAGATGAGTACTTCCACCACCAGAAAATAAGATCAGCGATCGGTTTCAAATACCCATGAAAAAATATAATACGCAACAACTCCCTCTACAAGCAAACTGGGGCTAGACCCCTCCCTAGGTCAGCTCATCAGAGCTGCTGGATGGAGAATGCCTGGCCACATGCTCAGATGAGACCCGCCAACCCCAGCTCAACTTGTCATATCTGCATATATCGAGCTGAGCGAGTGCCCAGGTTTCTGAGGCCATGCAAGAACGACGCTTCTAAAATCAATACACAAAGACCTAGCGTCCGCACTGAAAGCGTTGAACCGGCCTCAACAGGCTCACAAGTTATGAGCGGTTGCCGGAGGGCTAGCTACGTTGTTCACCGACCTCAAGCGGTTCGCCGCAGTCATCAAAGAGGGCCCTCCACCCTTCAACCCGCCATGAGCACAGATTGACTGGAGCGTTTACATGACGCATTGCGTTTGACCTGGGTTGACGGCGAGTAATCGTACTACCGTACTTCTGTGCGTATCACGCGCCAGGTTCGAACAGCACTGCACAGGCAAATTTCGTGCGAAAGCATTCACGTGACCATACAGGACTCTAGAAGTGGACTTTTGGCGGCATATCAGTAAATGACCCGGGTCAATTGTCTTCATGTAAACACCCACCTATTTTTCTCCATCGTACAGACTTTCAACCCGGGTTAAAAATCCTGAGGTAAACACAGCCTTAATCAACAGCAATTACAACAGTCCAAGGGAAGATTCCTTATGTAATCCAAACAGGAGACATACCGATTAAAAGCAGAGCAGCATCCATCACAGCTGCACCGTTCAACATGGTCGCCATCAAGATGTCGTGACCAGGGCAATCAACGAATGACACATGTCTACAATCATAAATGCACACACGCGTGCGCACGCACACACACACACACACACACACACACACACACACACACACACACACACACACACACCAGCTAGCACAAACTCATATGCAGTGAATTCTAGAGCAAATATACCAGAGCGTGGCAATGGAGACGGCAGCTGCCAAAATATACTTTGCCATTAGTATGAAGTAAACATGTGCCCGTACCTTGGTTACTACAGTCGTCTCTCTTTAACCCAGCACTTTATAAACCAGCACAATTTTCATTGTGCAACCGCCTGCACGAACTCTATGCAGTGCTGCGATGGCAGAACCCTCACATCACGTGACAGGATTCGAAAGGATAGGCTGGCAAACAGTGCAATGTGACCACAAGAGAGTTGAACCTAAGCATCTATCATGCAAAGGGTGCAAATAATGTGAACCGGTTTGTCACGTGGTGTGAAGTTCTGACGTCATAGATCCCATAGCTGGAGCTGCACACTCTTGGGGGTTATGTACTTTCAATAGTATCCACTATCTAGACACCAGAGTTACAGGCACTTTCGGCTATTGGGCACCCTTTGCATGAGTTTTCTTGGAAAATATAACTCTTTGTCAAATGTTGTGTAACTAGTGATATTATACTGCCGTATCTCTGGCCTTTCCCCATCAAAAACGTATGTGATCCAAAGTTACAGACATTTTAAAGTTACTAAGTACGCCAGTGCCTGGTCCCAAACAGCTCGAATAAACAAGGTATGAGCATACTAGTATAGGAAGGTGACACTATACTCGAAGGTGCTTCCATTAAATGAAATAAAACAGGAATCCGATATCATATCGGCAAGATTACACCAAGACGAGTAGTATCGACTGCTTGCCATACTCACCGCTTCAGCTCAAAGCTACCGGTACAACCCGGCCGATCGCAAGGGAATAAGTCTTCCTTGTTGCTACCTTGGGAGCGGAAACATGCAGGTGGAGGGCATCTGGCATTGTTGCACTTGTAGATCTACACATCCGACAGTGACAGCACCAGTACACACACACACACACACACACACACACACACACACAGTTACCACCAACAAAAATTGCAAGCGCACACATGTACAGTGTACAAGGTAGCTATAAAAGCATGTGCAAAGGCCAGCCAAAGCATGGAACAAGTTCACGCCTGCATGGATGAGTACAGCCTGTCGGAAACTATGATAGTGGTGGCACATTCAATCTCGCCTATAGTCGATCCAAGCAATCTGGCCATGGCGGCATGTAGCTAGGGGCCAACAACAGTTACAATGGCCACCCAGACCACCAGGAAACGATACCACATACAGCATGTAGGCACGGGTGTGGTACCAGTAAAAAAAAAAAAAAGTATTCGAGCACCACTAGCCCCGAGCATGTCGAAAGTTAATAAACTGACCTTAGCATTGGCATATCCGAGCTTGATCGTGATGTTACGCTCAAGTTCATTCTTGAATCTGACAGTCTGTCCCAACGCAAATGCACAAAATGGAAACATGTTTTGACCGTGAATTGGCTACCATATGAAAAATATTACTTCTTGAAGTAGTGAAAGATTCACGTGAGAATCAGACAGACTCTTTCACATCGGCAGGAGCGCCACCACCCTCAAGGCCCAATGTGTACCCACAGGAATGGATCAAGGCGCAGAAAAAAATTTCACGGTTCGCATGAGACTCGGCTGGAAACCGAGTTTTCCGCATCCGTAGGAACGCCACAACCCTTCAAGGATCAAGGCGCAGATGCAGCTCCTAAAGCGGTGGGAGGTGAGTAGATCAGCTCACCAGCAAGTGGTCAAAGACCGAAAATCCCATTCACTGCATCCATGTTCTCCTCGTGCCAGGCCACGAGGCGCAGATGCTTGGTCCTAAACTGCAGTGCTGCGAGCAGATCAGACCCACCGCAAAGCGCCAGAGACTGAAAATTCCATTCGCTGCATCCATGTTACTTTCGTGCCAGGTCACCAGTTCCGAACTGTGGGTCGCAGCACGGCTGAAAATCCCTCCAATTTCAAGCAGGAATTGAATTGAAGCTACAAGTAGTACTCTCAGCTTCTCAGTCATGGTCTGAGGCCATAGCTATGCCTGCCCCCTGTTTGCCACCAAAAACCAAGCACTCGCAAACACTTTCATTCTCCGTCCCACAAACAGGCTCTCAGCTGCACAAAACAAGTAAAGGCAATCTGTTGTTCAAATATTTTGTACAGCTGAGAGCGTGTTCATGGGACAGAGAATGGAAGTGTTTATGAGTGCAAGGAATATGTTGCAGTGGACTTCTCAGCCCAATGGTTTCGTTGTGGAGCTTGTGTATCAATGCTAGCCACAAACATGAACAACTACACACTGCAATACATGGGTATCAAAAATGTTGGTGAGAAAGATTCAGGGCATGACTTGCCCAGTATCGCATCGCACTTTGCAACGTAATTGTGCCTACTTGCGATGCAACGTCAGGGCTGTGGAGCGAAAAGCTGCGATGCATGCCGCGCATCGGTCGAAAGTTCGCGTGCAGTTGTACCTGCGCCCTGCATGTTTTACTGAGCACTCGGTACGGTAGCACACAAACCCGCACCCCGATTTGCTACAACTGCTATGCAAAGAAACCAAACGTGAAAATGTGTAGCACATTTACTATGCATCTGGGTTTGAGTAAGTCATGATACAAACTCAAATGACCGTGCTGCTGCTAGAGCATCCATCAGACGACATTGCCATAACAAAACTATTTTTTATATTCATACGTCAGCAGGCTGTATCATTACACCAAAGTGCTGCTATTTCGGAATGTAGTTAATACTTCCATTCTGAATGTCACGGACTCCTCCATTTCAAACCCTGATGCGATTCGTACAAATTTACGAGGGGTAAATACAAAAGGGTGCCGGTTCTGCTGACCGAAAAAGAGTTAGGTTTTTATCATCATTGACTTCCATTTGCATGACATGTATTATCTTGACATTTTCATTTCTAACGGTTGAAACTGACACAGCCTGGTTTCTTGAAGGACGTCACAGAATGAAGGGCTTATTTAAAACAAATATCTTCAGTTCACAACAGCTTGGTGGAGTGCTGTCGTGACGATGACCAACAGACAACACATGTTTGTTCTCAAGGGATAGATCAACAAATCCGAAATCTCAGTGGCAACATGTACGCATGCACGCACCGACACGGAACTCACCTGGACGCCGGAGATAGCTTTTACTACAGTTGACTTTCCATGGGCAACATGACCAATTGTGCCTGTAACATTTCGAACAGGCACATGATGTCCATAACAAGAAGAATCCCGAAGTAACTGATCGGGTATGATTCTACAACTTACCAATGTTGACAGTGGCCTGACGACTAATAATTTCAGGTGAGTCAGGTGTCAATTTGGAGATATCCTAAGGTGAGCAACATAAAAGAGCACCTTGTCATCCAGTGGCTCCAGCAAGCAGTGCGATCGACGACAGATCCTCACCAAGGTCTCCAAATTCTGTACTGATAATCCAGCCATTTTTACTGTTTTCAATTTGCCAATCCCTTTCTCTCTCTTTTCCCGTTATCCTCACTTCAAGAGCCTGGAAATCATCATGCGCGTGTGATTCATGCCAAGAACAGACTCAGCTCAGTCTACACCGCTAGCGCTAGCGCTGTTTATGTGCAGCCCGAACGCTAGCTAGCGCGCGCCTAGCGGCCTAGCGCGATACAGTCATCTGGCACTAACATGAACAATGCATGCTAATGCATGGTAGATCAGCTCAGAGAGGCGACGGTTTCACATGGGTACCGGGTTGTAAACCGGAACGGACTAGACCCGGGTGCTCGAATGAGAGACAGGGTACCTACTTACTTGTAAACTTATTCCGATTTCGTTTAGTTTTCACAAATACCATCAACATACGGCCCGCTAACGGCATGCCAAATTTCAGCTCTGCGCGGTAAACGGTTTTTGAAATACTCGCGACCCACTTTTTGTTGGGTCTACAATAGTCCTTGATTCGAGGATGTGGGTCCACGGTACGGTGCTGCCAAAGACCTGCTGAATCTGCGGCTCCACTGACCATCTTGCTCTCAAAAACGAAGTAGTAAGTAATTAGTTACTACTCCCTGCCCTCAACTGCCATACCAAGCGTAGACGATGGTAGACCCGTGTGCTTGAATCGGAGACGATCTGACGAGTTTGCTGTTTCTGATTCGAGCACCCAATTTTCAAGTAAAAAATCCGAAGGAAATACGACTATTTTACTTCGTGCCGTAGCTTGTGTTGTAGCGCACCCAGGTTCTGAATTCCTGCTAGGTGGGTCAAGCCAGACTCTCTTCCCTGTTCCATCGCCTCTCCAAAAGTATATATAGCAATAAAAACTGCTTTATGGCAGTTTTCTAAAAAAGGTTATTGTGTTCTAGTCCATGGACCCCGTCTAAAAAGTAAGAAATTAACGAAATGTGATAGCCGAAAATTAAAATTTCACACAAAACCTCACAATAATCACGACACTTGAAGATCTAATAGTACGGCTTTCAACACTTGTTTATTCCGACACTTGTACTTGTACAAGTACATGTACTGCGCCAACATGCTTGCATGTGAAAGAGGACCACGAGGGGAAAAGGTCGTCTCGCATCCTGTGTGTGATTATTGTGAGGTTTTGTGTGAAATTTTAATTTTCGGCTATCACATTTCGTTAATTTCTTACTTTTTAGACGGGGTCCATGGACTAGAACACAATAACCTTTTTTAGAAAACTGCCATAAAGCAGTTTTTATTGCTATAATTTCTTTTGTTTTTTGGCTAAAGGATATTACCGGTATTATTTTTATTTTATTTATTTTACTAGGGTGTTTCCCACAGACCTATGGTCTTCTTACGGGAGCCCCTAGAAAGGTTAAGCATGAACGAACAAATGGGCGATAATCTGTACAAGAGCGAACAGTGGAAGGCAGCATATTCCACCGATCAGAACCTATAATTGTGTCACCAATGGAATGCCCTAAATGATGGCCTAAATGTAGCGACTCTACATGTTATTATTATTATTATTTTATTTTACTAGGGTGTTTCGCACAGACCTATGGTCTTCTTACGGGAGCCCCTATGGCTATGTACATGTACGTGTATCATATCAATTTGCATTGATGTGCAAGCCTTTTCTTGCAGAAAATGGAACTAGTCTTGCATACATGTATTCATGTTCTTCTGCAGGGGAATCATATGAGTAGTGGCGGTGATACTTTTTTTTATACGCAGGTCATTCTGTGGATGTTGCAGAATTCCATGACTCTGTCATAAAATTGTCTTGTGTTTCAGAAAATTCAGATGTCCACACCCTAAATCACATTTGCATGAGAATTGTAACCAGGTGCGTGCCGCAGATGTTTTTGTTGATTCTGTGTTTATAATTGTAGTCATGGGTTGTCGTGATAAGGTCATCCGGCATCATATTGTAGTGAAATCGTAATCCTGTTGATGTCGGTAAAACTTTTGGAAGCAGTTCAATGACTTCAAAGTGTTACAAGTCCACGATTATCTAAAACAACACAGCAAAGTAGGAACAATAAACATGTATTAAAATGTAAACAAATACATTGCTGAGTCCGACACCTCGTTCCAACAACTACACTGATCCTGAGGATATAAGGGGCAAGGATATATGGTTGGAGGTACTGAGAGATAAACAAGGCACTCCATAATAATAACATGTTACACGACTTTGGGGGAGTATGAATGATATCCAGTCAAACCTCTTTAGGACGAACATCAAGGGACCGATGGCATTTGCTCTGTGAGTTTGTCTTAACCCTATTTTTATAACGAGTGAATACAATTATTTCTCCAATACTGCAATAGCGACACGAATAGATTTCTTCTACAGCGAAAGATTCTAAGCCAGACCAAACCATTGACTCGTCTTTTATGAAACAAATGAGTCACTGAACCTTTCTTTAGCAACATGACGGCAACTGAAACAACAACAGAGAAAATACGATACATGTACAGCACATTCTTGCAGGTACAACAAACAGATTGCAGATCGTAATTCTTGCTCTACCGGCACGCAACTTTATTTGGGGCAGTGCAATCTCGGCGGTACTCACAAATCAAACAGCCCAGACTCGAGTAAACAAATCCAATCGTACGAGATTTTCACGACTGCACCCATTGGCTTGTTTCGTATGAAGCAAACAAGTCACTGAATGCATGAACCTCTCCATAATGGAGATTTTCCCTGATATGCGAATTTATTTTGCATACTATTATAAACGTTAGTACTCGGCCAATGCGTCCTTGAACCTTCGCCTCCAGATTGGGAACTGCCAACGATGCTATGCCACTGCAAAATTCAGATTCTACCCCATGATCGGAGCACGGAATCCCGGAAGCAATCATGACCAGTGCCTTACTTGTAACGTACCAATGTACAATGAACATGAGTACATGTATTTCGACAACACATCTAAGCCTTACCGTCAAGAAGGTGAACTCGCGTTCTTCGCACACTGTTGGCAAGTGCAAAGAGATACGAATGGATCTATTAAATCCGAATAAAATCAGCACACGTTTCCGTAAATGAAAGGGTGAGCATAAGCAAATGATTTGAAGGAAACTGGTCAACTCAGAGATCACCTGTCATTGAGTATTCCGTAAAAGGAGGCCTCGACAGCAGAAAAGCTAAATTTAGAAAAGAGATCCTGTCAGCTTTTCCATTATTATTTTATTGTATTCCACCTAAAATCAGCACACTTTTCGTAAATGAAAGAGTCAACACAAGCAAATGAATCAAAGGGAACTGGTCAACTCACCTGTCATTGAGTAATATTCCGTGAAAAGAGGTCTCAGCAGAGCCGAAGCGAAATAAGCCAGGACACGAAATATCCGAAACAGCTCATGCAAGAAGCAGTTCCAAAGAAGGAAGTTCCTCGCGCATGCACATCCGAAAACGGACTGCATGCACGGCATGCAACACAATGTCTGCCGTGCACGTGCACAGCACGCGGCTACCACCCGTTGGTAGATCTAATACCGAGCACCTTACGTAGAAACTTACGTAGCATAGCGGTGTCGTTTTTTCTGCCATGTGAACACAATAATAGAAAAGCTGACAGGATCGCTTTTCTAAATTCTGACATTGTTGAGATTTACAGATGAGAAATTGCACACCTCTCAAATCGTTTCTAATTCGAGCACCCGGGTCTACGATGTGTTTTACTCCGAGCCAAAATGTGATGGCTCTGCGATGACCAGAAAGGCAGAAGCGCCATATTATCATTATTAGGGCTCAAACGATTAGTCCGATTAACCGGTTGCAGACCGGTTACGAAGAATTAACGGTTAACCGATAAAGATAACGGTTACGCAGTAACTTTTCAGTCAATTTTTCAAGTATCAGGTCGTTGCAAAGTGTGCACTTTCGCGGGCTGTCGCACGCGTACGCAATTTCTGGGCTGTCAACTCGGTCATATCTCATTATCTGGTCTCTTGGTGTGAGAGTATGTATGAATGAGCATGCAAGAGAATGTACGAGTTTGCGTTGTACTGAATAGGGTACATTTTTTGAATGAGTATAGTCAAATATACGGTTAAAAAAGAGTCCGCAGGATTGCCGTGGCTTATAGGTTATAACCGGTTAACCGACCGTTAGCTTAGCAGTTAACCGTCAGGGGTAAAACCGTGACCGTTTGAGCCCTAATCATTATGGTACCGAGCAGGTGAGTTTTTGACGTGTTGCTTCGCGCACTGCGACTTGAGTTTTACGACTTTCGAAAAATCAACTTCTTGTCGCAGGTAAACCTCTCGCCAATAAAGCACTGCATACCAATCGAAACTAATGGAAGCACACACAAGGCTTATTGTTACTCTGTACTGGCCGTCGTGGAGCGATAGCCCTAATTTCAGACCCAGAGTGAATTTGACGTGCACCGTCTAAAACCTGTCCGGTTTGGAGCCACCTCTGATTTGAAGCGAAAAATTGGGCAACTTACTTGGAGGCAATGGGTCAACACAAAGGAGTGGCTCAGTTCGATTGACTCTGGCCTCAGAGCAAACTTCACTGTGACATGCCAGTTTCCTTCCACAAACATTATTTCGAGTGAACAATCAACGCATTTAACGAAGACAACCTCAAGCTCAATACACAGAAAACTGAATATGTTGATGTTACAAGAAACAGCAACGAATGGAGATCAATCAAACTCCTGGGTTCTCTATTGGGCTCTGCAGAAGACGTGGACATGAGAATCTCAAAAGCAAACAGGGCGTTTGGTTCGATTTCTTGGAGACGGCATTCCTTTCAATCCCGACTGTGTATGTTTAACTGCCTCATAATGCCGATCCTTCTATACAATTGCGGATTGTGGACTCTGTCCAAATTGCTGAACGACAAACTGGACAAATGGCAACGGAGGAAGCTACGCGTACTGCTGCAGATTGTCTACCCGCAACGCATCACCAATAACAACTTATACACAGAAACAAAACAATCTCCAGTTAGTGCCACATGTCGGCGACGCAGGCTGCTGTGGTTTGGCCATGTGGTGCGAGAGGGTCCGGAATCCGCCTCGTTCCAAGCACTGGAGCTATCAATCAACACAAACGACATAAAAAAACCCGTGGCCGTCCGCCATTGCGG